CCCCCCCCCCCCCCCCCCCCCCCCCCCCCCCTCCCTGCTAAGACAGTACTTTATCTTCAGAGTGTTTAATATTACAGTATGTATGGCGACATAATTATAAAATATATACTGCATGTACAGCAGGATTAAAAATTACTTTGCTTATGGGTTCAGTTTCTTGACCTCTACGAATTTTTATTATTACAGTGGCTATATTTCTTCATTGGGGCTTTTAGGGAATCTTTTCATTTTATTGCAGAGGGTTGGGAATTAAAATGACTCCCTGATATTGTTGCATTAAAAAAGCCTTCCCATCAGGCTGGAAAGACTAAATGATGATTTTAATGTCATTATTCTGTTATTTATATTTACATACACAAGCCAAATATAACACAAGTATAAGGTGGACATACCTGAATCACAGATGGGCATGGAAGGCAACTCTTGTTTTACTTGCTCAGTTAACAGCTCAGGCCTGGAAACAAACAATTAGCACAATTTTTACAAAGCTGTGAATGAATCCCTTGATTTAGGTGTCACTTCCTTGTCTGAAGACGACCTTCTTTAACATCTAATACAAACATTTTCCCTGTTTTAATCCTGTGTCCCTGTGTTAATTATATAGACTGTATGATTAATAGATATGGCTACAGTGACATCACTCATTTGTTTGTGGACTGCTGTCTTGAAACCTTGAGTTTGGCAATTTGTTTTGACGACTTTTTATGCGTGTGACCCACCGTGGAAGATTTAAAAAGCAGCTACTAGCAGTTAGTGGCTAACTCAAAGAAGAAGAACAGTGGCCGAGGTCTGGGAGCTCCTTAACCTCTGAGCAGAGGATGAGATCAGCCGCCAAATAACAGAGAAGCTAAATGATGGTTATTGCCATGTTATGGTTTATGAAGCGCTGCCTGTGACGCCTCTTTTGGCTCTGCGATGCTGGCACGCTACTTAAAATGATGCCACTGTCATTTGGTCCCGTGTAAAAATGCAAAGGAGGCATAAAGAAGGGATTTAGTAGTGGCTCCATAGCTCAATCTCTATGTAAAAAGGGCCACAGACACCCTGCCCCTCAAGCGACCCCGCCCTTAAATATAAGTAATTTTGATCTTTATAAAATGTAAATGGGTGAGTTCTAAAAAAAAAAAAATTGTGCCCCCCATACAGTTGTCAAGAATGTTACAATCAGTTATCAAGACAAAACCGTTTCTTGTTCAAGGCTGTAAACATGTTTATTTCTGCTGTAAAGTTGGACATTTTAACATGAGGGTCTCAGAGGTTGAATATATGTCAAATATATGTAAAAAAAAATCAGTTCCACTATATTTTTATATCAAAATCTCTGTCCTTTCTCCTCCTTCTCCTTAACATGCATGTTATTGTGCTAATTTTATGTGCTCTCACCTTTTAATGACAAACTGAATCTGACTGCTAGCAGCTAAGATCTTGCGCAGTTTGGCCGCTCCGAAACAGTTGGGCCTTCGGAGGGAGATTCCCTCTGGCAGCCCGGTGACGCACAGGTCCTCTGGGTACATCTGGAACTTGGAGTAGGGCACCTTGGCTGGTTCAGGCAGGCCCAGAGCCTCAGCTGCGGAAGAGGAGATGGCATATAAGTTCACTGGTTGCTTATTTGCTAATACAAGTAAGGTCTTAACAAGCAAACACTTTCCAACTGTCACATAATTGTTATGCACAATCACCACTGTTCATTGTTACAGTGCTGAGATGTTCTGATCAGCTGTTTCCTTCGTACAGCAACTAAAACTCCAACTCCGGAATCCTGAAGCTTGGCACATGAAATTGTGATAGATCTTTTTCATCTCCTTTAATTTGCCCCACACTTATCAAACTGATTCTGATGTGTTAAATTATTGAGAAAACTTAAATGTTATAATATAAATATTTGAAGAGGCTATAAAAGCTTAACTTTGCACTTGCTGTACACTGGTAAAGGGTGTGTTCACGGAGGAGGAGATAAAAGTCTTACTGCAAAATGAATGGGCCCGAGATAACTTCCTGCCCTCGTATGAATGAGGGTTAAACATGGCGTCCACAGGTAGCTTACCGTACTTAATGCTGAAGATGCTCTCCACTTGTCTCCGAAGCTGAAGAATCATTTCACCAATGTCCTCCACCAAACTCCCTGCTGAACGAGTCAAACACACAAAAAACATTTTCACTGAGAGCGTTAAAGGAGAATTATGATGTGAGGGCAGCTTGGTTAGTGGGAGACTTCCCACCTGTGATCAGAACAACTTTTCCTCTCGCCAACTTTATTTTGATTAATTCCTCCTGCTCTACGCTGGCCTGGTAATGACAAACTGACTGTGTGGTGTATTAATCACCACAGACCATAACAAATGGACACAGGGGGGAAGAGTGGTGAAAAGTTGCAAAAATGGGGGAGAAAAAAAATTAGAGAAAGTAGAAAATCTTTTTGAGGTGGATGTGACTAAAAGCTTCAAATTAACTGTGCTGCACCTGAGGTAAATGCAGATAATATATCTACATGTTCAAAACTGCAGTTCAAGCAAGAGCGTAGAAGAAATGAACTTGAAGATTATGAAAATAGCCTTTACGTCAAAGAAATAAAGGTGTTTTTATGCGCATCTGTAACATGTACCTTCAGAGGATCTTCTGATGCTCTGGGAGGCCGCACTGGGTGACAGAGCTTCAGCTGCAAGATGAGAGACAAACATGAGGAGGGCAACACATACAGCTGCTTTCAAACCACTGCAGAACAAAGAATTCAGATGTATGATATATTATTCAGGTAAAAAACAAAACCAAGTTGTTAATGTCTTGATGGTACGCTGTTAACTGAGCTCGTGAAAAACATCGGTGGCTTTACAGCAGTCATGAGCTTATAGTAACTAAAGCAGTGATTATTACATTTCTAAAAATGTAGCTGGTGTATAAACAGGGGAAACATATAAGCTGCAATAATTCAATATTATCATCCACTGTACTATATTCTGGGCAAATTGTTCTTAAAAACTCACAAAATAAGCCATTACTTTTACACCTGTGAAGAGTTTCCTCTGATGTACAGTTAATTGCATTGAACATTGTTTTTTTTTTGTACATACAACACCTGCAAGTAAGATACAGCAATAGAGATATTCATTACAGCCATGTTGTTTAATCCGACAATAAAGTGCTGGAACTGAACTTTATTAAGTTGACAAATGTAGTATATGATATGGTGCCATTTTTGGACTGCATTAACCCTATGAAACCTGGAGCAACATTACCTTTCCTGTTCTGCTTTCAGGCGCAGTTCACAAATATTCACACATTTGATAACTTGGTAAGAAATGTCACACAGAATTATCATAATTTTGAAGCACTCTTTCCTTATAATTTCCTTGTTTGTTTGTTATTAACTTTCTTTTTTTTAAACTAATTTTCTAATTAGTACTAACTTACTTAATAATTTCTCGGGTCATTTCTTCTGTCGTTGCTCATGACCTTCTTCCCATGTTTTTAAAAGAAATCAAACCAATGGGCTCAGGTTTCCATGGATTAAAATGCAAAATCTTCCTCACTCTTTGTTCATTAATAACTTTGGACACACACACACACACACACACTTAATGACAGTTAATAAACTGACTGGTGTATTCAGATCTGGAACGGTGACTGAGGAGGTATCACTCTTTTGCAAGATGTCTTCACCATCAGTAACATAAACAGCCCACGGATATCGGAGTCTGCCCTGTTAACTTCAGATAAAATCCTAACAACAGGCTAAGAACTGATTGAATATTGTGTGGATGATTGTAAGGTGTCCCCACTATGATTTTATGTCAGTGTAGTGATGTGGAACAGCTTGTTACATTCTCTGGCTTGGCGCATTTGATCAGCAACTTAGAAACCTCCTTGCAGGAAATTCTGGAATGTATTATTATATTCCAGTCCTACCTCTGAGTAGAATCATGTCATGTTCAACCAGTTAGTTTTTCTTCTGTAGCATCGTTTTCATGCTAAATTATGCAAGAAGCACTTGCCACTGACTGACAAGAATCCATTATTTTGTTTGTAAATGCTGTCTGCCTGAGTGGGACACCTTCACATCGTCTACATATATAGAGCTAATGAACTTTGTTTCTTTAAGGCTCATTTACACTCCCTTTACGTACGAAAATAGTTTCATCTATTTCAAATTTTGTAAACATCACTGCCTCAGACTTCCGTGCGTCCTTTATGTTGGCATAGATACAACCAACAGGTGGCACTAGAGGACAGAGTCATAAGTTTCACACCACAACAAACAAGGCGACAGTGGAGGAGGTCATAATACTGTAGCTTTAAACAGAGGTAGCATTGTAGACGGCAGTGGTCTGTGCAGCCATGATGAATTCCTTTCACCATTTTTCACTATATATTATTGTCTATTACCAATTTCTTTTCCGTTCCGCCATTGTTTAAATTTCTTTGTCGTCTCCTACGATCTTATCTTGCTTGGTGGTACCGCTCCATTAAGTCAGTTTCCATAAGCTTTCAGAAAATGTGCACAAATACAGACAGGATTAACGCAGAGTACAGACAGAAAGCTCCGTCTGTCTCCGTATCTAACACTGAGCATAAATGAGCCCTTAGCATGACTCCGTCTGTGTGAAACCTCAAAAAACCCTATTTTCCTCAACTATGTGTATGTATATAATGCAAAACAGCCAAAAATGACACTTAAATAAAGAGCATGTAACAGCAAATAATTCTAAATGTGACATTTGCTGCACTTACCTCCATTTTCTTTCCTTTAGTGGTCATTTGTGAAAGAAAAGAAAACTTAAACAAAGCACAATCAAATCAACAAAATAAAACAAAATGCCTCCTGAAAGCATCGTATGCTAACCCAAGATCACATCGAGTAGACTCTTCATTCTCTGTGGCATTGTTATAGCTCCATCCAAATATAAAAACAAATGCCTCATTAATATGTTGATTTAATTTATAAAAAGACATCTAAACGTCGATTTTGTTTTTAGGAGCTTTTAGCATTTAATTAGTAGTTTTACACACATGCTTCTGAGATATCCCGACGACCCAATGACTTTTACGCAGCCATCCATTAACTTTTATTCAATGTCTGTTTGCAAAGAGCAGCTCAAAGGGTAAGTTCACCAAAATGAGAGTACAGATTTATGCTGCCACCCCAATATAAAGGAGGTGAGCTGATTTTTTTTGTGTGGTGTTCACAGCATTGTCAGAAATCTCAGTGACACATGCTGTATCTCAAGTATCTGCTAAGCTTGATACAAGTAGACAGGTAAGAAAATAGGTTTGTAGTTTAGGTGAACTGACCCTTTAAGGTGAAATATGAATAAACAAGTCACTGCTTGTTTATTAGCACTTGATAAATGAGGCTTTTGCGGTTTAGAAAGAGAGAGCAGTCTACTCAAATGTCTTGGTATCCTTACTCTAGTCACCTGTGCTTTAAAGGTGAACAGTTTGGTGTTAGATGGAGGGAAGATTTGGGAGTATTGAAAGGATCTTTGAGGAGCAGTTTTGTCTCTAATACATGAACTATCTCTAATCATTCTGGGGCAGCAGGACTAGGGGACGATGTAACTCAAAATCAGGAAATATGCACAATGCATCAGTCTTAATATCTTAAATGGCAAAAAATGACCACATGGAAAGTTTTAATATACATAATGACTCAAAGACTCAAAAGCAGAGTATGTCAAACAGCTGATGCATGGTGCTTTTTCACAGATGAGAGCCAGTATTTGTAGTGGGAGAAGAGAAGGGCTACAGTGGTCCAGAGTTGGGGAGTGGGGATTCTTAAGGTTGGGGGTGTAGCTACCACTGACTGGGGAGGTTTAGTCGTGGGGTAGTGGGAGAGTGGATGAAAAAAGTATCTGAGAAAAGTGTTTTCATACGTGTGGCAGCTTATCTAGCTCCCTAAAACACAGCCAGAGTGTGGGGTGGCAGTGGTTGGCGCTGGGTGGCACCACGGTGGCTGTAAGGGCTGTGGGTGGAGCTGGCATTCCGGGGGGCTGCGGTGAGAAGGAGGTAGATGAAATGGAGGTGGGGGCTGACGGGGCTGAGGTTACCTGCGTGGTTTTCCATTTGGTGATGGGGAGCAGAGGGAGCAGGGGGGACAGAGGGAGCAGAGGGCGAGGCTGTGGCTGGACACGCTGCTGCTGCTGCTGCTGCTGCGACTGGCTCGGCCACAGACTCGCTGGCCTCCTCCCCACTTGTACCAGCGTCTGGAGAAACAAATGTACTCATGACCTTCACAAGCTTTTTATAAGTTTCACTGTACACAACATGAGAGCAACAGGAAATATAAGGCTTCCTGTGACAGGGTGATATTTCCTGTGTTGCTGTTTTTAGTTTGTTAAAATATAATTCTGATATGGACAGGTTTTATACAAGACGAAACTGATCAACGTTTGACATCTGATACTGGTTAGTCCTCATCCTTAAAGTGTTTAATCTTGTAAAAGCGAAACATAAAGTGCAGAAAAAATTCACCTGGCAGATAGCTCCAATACTTTGGGAACTTAACAACCTGCAACCTGGAGCTTCCCAAAACCTGAACTTGTAAGAACTGGCAAGGCTTTTGTTTTGGGATCTCCTTGTGTTTCCACTGTGTTTTATGATATAAATCATCGACCAAAAGGAAAGTCTGTCCAGGGGCGGGACTTGGCAAAGGGTCAATTCCCCTCTTAAGGGGGTCACTAAGTAACATCCCCAGAAGCACACTGCACATTGACTGGCAAGAAGAACAACAAAAAACACGGACTGCTTGACAATCTCAGTTGACTGAGGGGTCTCTAAGTGATGATTCTAATCTCTGACTTTCAGAAGGCAGCCCTAGGAAAATGTCTGAGTGTCTGGTCTTCATTTCTTTCTTATCATATGCCAAGCTGCTGCCTATGATGTATCCACTGCAACTGTGGCTATCAGCACTTACCAGATGTCAAAGAGACCATACTACAGTCTTTCTGAGGACATCATAGCTTTACATTTCAGACTAGTGACACTGTATCACACACCTGTGATAGGTCAGTGATATTCTATGAAATCTGCATCTCTGGATACTCTGTTTATAATCTAAGTGAGCAAATTTCAAAGCTAATAGCTGCAAAGCATGTGCACACTTACCTGGCACTGTAACTTGAATGATTTCCCCATCTGGAGGCTCTGTTTTAATCCTTTTCAAAGGAATGCAATCTCCTGAAGGACCTGCGGGGATTGAACAGTTCATTCTGCCTGAGTTGCCATCAGTGTGTGGCTCTGTGTTTTATGGCTGCATTAAACAGATTTAAGTAGGTGATAGAATGTGTTTGAACTGACTGGACTGCAAAACATGGTGGGAGATTTTCTTGAGGGACTTCCAAGGACTGTTAACATTGCTTTAAAAGTTTCATTTGATACTCAGGGCTTAAATCTTTTGTTAAAAATCATTATGAACATTTTTTTAATAATGCGGGATTGCTTTTATTTGCACATACCTGCTTCACAGTCAGCCAAGGGACTCACACATGCACTCGCTGATCTGTGCAATTGAATAAAACACACTCAGGTGACTACCAAAATTACAAAACTGGTTCATTAACAATACATGACCAATTTTGCTTTTGTTATAAATGCAATTAAATCTGGCTACATGCCACTATCCCATATTTCGACATTTTAAAAAAAGGTCTGCGGGGTAATGCTAAATTTCTGCGTGGGCTGTGCTCTGACCTGCTGCTGTGAGGATTGCTGACCAGCTCTGCTGTTGTAGGCGGGATGCTCAGATTGTCAAGGAAGCTGTCTTCAGGCATGGAGCCCAGGTCATGCTTGCCCTCCTCCCTTGCAATCTTGCCAGCAGCTTCAACAAACAAGACACAGAAGATAAACAAACACTGCATCCCATTAGCGAGGAACATCTGTGGGGTGTAAATATATAAATAAAGACTTGACAGATGAGTTTTCTGTTAGCCAGTTACTGTAATTAATTGTAAGGATTCTGACAAATATTGTACGGCTAAATGCCTGGCTCAAGCCCCCACACAAAGCACACATGGAATCCTACCAAAATAATTACATTTTATCCAAAGTTCTCCTCTGAAAAGATGGAGATCATTTTTCATTTTAATGAAAATACAGGCTACACTTTGGCCACGAGCCAAATTAGCTCTGATTTTGTCTCAGGCTGCATTAGTTTCAGCTGGGCATACAGAATAAACTGTAAACTGAGGGATACTGCCTGCATACAGACACAAGTATACGCTACTATATGATGAATTTAGCCAGCTTGGATCCAAAGGTAGGTAAACTATTATCTCAGTTTGCTGCCACCGTTTTTTCCAAACAGAAACCTCACAATTCTAGAAAGACTGGCACATTTTCATGTATAATTAGAGACAGTGGCAATGAAAAGTCATACAGAGACGGATCAGCAGTGTTTTATTAATGAGGCAAAATCACAGCTCATATGCATGAGAAAATTGTATTAAAACAAAAACAAAATTAATCACACTCTTACCAGTGAAAATCCTTTCATCAAACATTCTGGAATATAAAAAAACACAGAAAACAGGCCATTAGTCACTGAGTTCAAAAGAGTGTTTCAGCTCTCAGGGCAGAAGTCATGATGCAAACACTGCGCATGTGGAGGAACATATCATTAACAGCTTTTTTAAGCACATTAACTGCTCTTTACACAATCAGTTGCAGTCAAACAATCACGTAAATGAGTCATCCCTTTGTTGCCACTAAATCCCACTGACTAAAATTAGCTGTGTGGATGTGAACTGAACTCCCCCTCCTTCTGGCGCATGCTACTGCTCGGTCTGCCACCGAGACATTCCTCTCCTGCTGTGATTGTAATTAATCTTTACACACAACTATTCCTTTAAGTCATGTTTATTTACATCGATTTGCAGCATTTTTAGATTCAGATGAAACTTCTAAAACTGGTGAAAAAGGGTGCTGTTTATCAGTACTTTCCTCTATAATCATTGAGCTACCTGACCTTTTAAAGGGAAAACTTTATTTTTTTTTTTTTCATCAATTTTTTTGTGTCAAAGTGACTAATGAGAACAACAATTTTTGAAATTGGTTGCGCTGTGAAACAGGCTGCATTGTAATCGTTGGGGTTATATCTAACTGCTGGGGGCGGCAGTAGCTCAGTCCACACGGAACCGGAGGGTCAAGTCCCTATCCAGAGCAAATATGGAGTGTGGACTGGTTGCTGGAGAGGTGCCAGTTCACCTCCTGGGCACTGCAAAAGTGCCCCTGAGCAAAACAACGAACCCTCAACTACTCGGGGCCCCTGTTGCTCTGATATCTCTCCATTTAATGCATGTATAAGTCCTGTTTGTGCATGTGTGTTAGAGCGCAGCTCAGGACGCATTTTCGTGACCAAACCCGACCCGAGTCTGACACAGTTATAACCAAGCCCGGCCCAACCCAGACAGACTTTCTGATTTTCATTAGTTCAGTCTGAATATTTACCGCCTCCTGTCTGAAATGTAACTATTGGCCTGTGTTGCGTTCAGGCGTTGTGCCATAGCACAACACAGCAGCATGTCAAGTTGGCCGAACCTGAACCAAACCCAGGCAAAATTTCTAAACTGTTATCTGAACTCAGCCCAAGTCGGATATCCACACTCTAATGTGCGTGTGTATTTCAGGCCTGTGAATATATGACAACAGAATGAAAAAACAAATGTACTCTTCTTCTTCTGCATCCATGTACGTCCAATTAAAGTGCTTGCTTTTGCCTCTGACAGGCTCAGGCTGACACTGAATTAAAAATCGAAGCATGGCAGACTTTGTAATATTGGCAAATATATCGTTGTCCTCAGAATCGATATAATATTGCATCGTGGTGAAGCTAATAATTCACACCCAAGCTAATGGTATCCACAGCAATAGAAAATGTACGCTCTGAGATTTTAAATACCTTTAAGCCATCCAAACACAAGTGGACAGCCAAGCAAATCACCGTTACCACCTGTGTCAACCATGCCTCTCCAAGGCTTGCAGCTGGTCACTTGTGTTCAGATTTCATTGATGCCTATGTCACTTTGGCTAGAAGGTCAAAGGGCTCTGTGTATAGTTATTATATTCGCACTCTTGCCAGACATATTAGTGGTTATGTTGGTACAGCTGGTAAAGACACACAACACTCCATCCAGCTCAGAGTAAAATGGGCAAGTTACAGAACACTGGCACTTAAAGAACCACCACATAATGCATTGGTCTGTCTGGTCTGTCTGTCTGTCTTTGTGTCGAACCGAGTCATAACAAAACAGCAAATAGAGCGGATCAAGCAAAAGGTAAAAAACGTTTTCTACGTATTTCTCTTAATTTCTCTGTGGGACTCCTCTGATGACAATCCGAGCCTGTCAGTGGCAAAAACAAGCACTTTTATTGGAAGTACAGTGACAGTCTGCTGCTGCCACAAAGACTGTATTACAACCCGATTTACTGCCTACAGCTCTATGCTCCAGCTGCAGCGCTCTCACCCAATACTGAACCAATTTAAAAAATTCTTGTTTCCTTTTAAGGCTTATACACAAAAACATGGGAAAGAAGGGTCCAAGTTGAAAAATACTGAAGGTTCCCTTTGGAGCCAGATGACCTAATTTTATATTGGGGTCACTGCTGAGCAAGACTACGCTCTACAGCCATTACACAAAGCTCATAACACTAGAGGCAAAACACACTGAGAAACAACACTGCTGTTATTGGTTCTTTACCAGTAAAATATAAAAAAGTAAAACATTTGAAGTTTGGTCTGAGGGCCGGTGATTTCTATATTGTTCTTCTACTGTTCTTGTTCTTCTTGAACAAATTCCACAAAATTATCCACACCAACAATGACTTGATCCTACTAATGATATGTTTTTGTGGATCCAAAGCCTGACACGGGAGCACAGAGCTCAGAGTTTTTCTGGGTGACATGTACCTTCATAACAATGAACATGGGCGCAGTCGTTTATTTTTAATTCAGTCCCACATACACCGTCCACCTGCTGTGAATACTCTCGAGAGCACCAAATGTGGACTAATGTGATGCCAAAAATAGTTCCAGACAAATACACTATTTACTGTTGTTTGGGTAACTTTTGCTAAAATCTACTGTGTCCAGCTGTTTGAGGAAATTAGTGAGCCTTTAAAAGTGGAAAGTATATATTTGTGTTGTTTTGAAAGATTTATATCTTCAGTAGGAACGAACAGGCTTGGGGTTGAGTGACACAGACAGAATAGGGATGTCGTAAAGTACTGAGGGACAGAATAACACGATGCTCATTTTGGTCTTTTCATGGGATTTGCTAACATTAAGAAAAATATACAATAATGTCATGGCACACTAACAATCCTGCATGGTTCAAGGTCTCCTTATTGGCTGTCCTGCATGGCTGTGAGGCTGGGTGGGTTGGACTTACCTAGGGGTAGAGGCTGTTTTAGTTTGAAAGGGGGCGTGCCAAAGTATTTATTATCTCTTTTCCACCAAAATTAAGACGAGTAAACCCACTAAAAAGAGGCTATAGACTCCTTTCCCATTACCAGTAGACCAGAGCTGTGTACACAGCTCTGCAGCAGACGAGTATGACTTTCTGTGTGTGTGTGTGTGTGTGTGTGTGTGTGTGTGTGTGTGTTTTGGGTGTGTCATATTCGACGTCATGGACAGGCTGGCAAACAGGTAAATAAACAGTAGAAAGCAGCATGAAAGCCTGTGAAAACTTCAACTTCTACTTCTATATCTCGTACTTATTCAGTCTCTCTTTCAAACTCGTTACGAACTAATCTGGATCAATGTTTGAGCGCTGCTTGGGTGGAGATGGATGGCATTTTGTGGTGGTGTGTCATTGCATTTTGCTGGTTAAGGGGCTAAAATTAGCCTGTCCATTTGGGTGTTGCGTTTCCATCAATGCCGATCGGAGCCGGAGCTGATACATACTGTATCTGTGACAAGTGCAGTCATTTGACTCATGTACAAGTGTTGATTTGGACCTTTCCCATTACATTAAAAAGCCAGATGTTAGTGGGTGTCGTTGGGTTTTTTATGCAGTGGGAAGGGGCTTAACAGAGATGATTCGGACCAGGTGGGGAAGCGCAGTTGATGAGAGATTTCAGAGTGTTCAAGTTTTGTTCTAAGTTATTGTCTGCGTATTAAATCATAGACATATAATGTCTACTAATAAACTGCTAATGGAGTACCGACGCTACGCAGTGTGGACCATGGAGAGGAAGCTGACTAAGTGACAACCTTCAGATCAGTGCTGGGACAGCAAGGCAACAGGTTGGCCCACATCCCTTAACTCTAGCATGGCAGCCGAACGCTCGCTCTCTAGTAATATATTTAGGGGCAGTCAAACTATGGCAGCCCGAGAAGAGTGTTTGCCCTAAGTCATAGTATCAAGTGCCCAAGGTTGTGTTTACTCTAACAATAATGCCAGCCTTACTCTTTAGGATTGTTTCACAAATGTTAAGGGATCTTTTGATGACATAAAGTGCTGGAAAAGTGGGAATTCTGAAACTACTTTAATAAAAAGTCAGGGGATCACCAAAGTCAGTAAGATTCATCCTTTGGTGACCACAATCATGCCAAATTTAATCCATTTATTGCTGTTGAGATATTTCTCTCTGGACCAGATTATTTGACCAACTCGCCAACCACATCATCTTCCCTTGAGCACACTCCTCCAGTGTGGTTATGGGATTTTTATTATTAAAAAAAAAAAGCCAGTAAATGTTGATCTATTTGCCTTTAATTATGAAATTGAACTGCCCACAACATGGATTTAAAATTAGGTTTTTATGACGTGATATTATCTGAGCATAATCAATAGCAAGGCTACAGCTCTAAATGAGAACAAAATTTTGGTTCCAGTTAAAGCAGCCAACCGTCATAATAAATGATCAGTTAGTTTAAAAATGAACGCAGTCTGTCAACAGAGAACATGCCAAAAAAGAACATCAGGGCCTGCATCTGGAACATCTCTCAATGACAATGGGAATGTGATGTAATTCTGAATTAATCACATTTTCAATCTTTCCTAATTCTATTAGCACTAATGAGCTGCCTGCAGGATTCGTTAAAAGATGTGTTATCTCAAACAAGGCATGGTGGCTCATTTAAATTAGCTTAAACAAATGGATGGAAGAGCAGCCGTTAGCACAATATGCTGGAAAGGGAAAGTCATTTGGGACATGAATGGAAATGGTTTACCAGTCAGCGGGACGTACTGTGCTGAAGAAACAGACGTTTAACAGACAGATGGTATAGGCTGGCTCGCTTGGTGGCTGCTTATTAAAAATCTTTTTGAAATAAAAGTTTCTGAGACAATTCCATACTTTAGTTTTGTGGATGGTAATGAAGTGCCAAGTGGGTAAATCGGCAATCAGTGACTAAATTAGACTTAATTAGACATGGAAGCGAATGGTTCCTTGAAAATCTACTCTGTGAATTACACCAGCCTAATACTTTAAATTCATCCCAAAGAATTATATTTGCCTAAAAAGGTATATCGTGCTGACAACATTCTAAAATAGCACTTTCCATATTGTAAAAATTGATTTGATTTGATTTTCCATGACTGTTTTAATATAAAGCTTGTGTAGGTGCTATATAAATACTGTGAAAGTACCAAAGCTCTCAACCCACAGAGAAATGTGCACAGTTTTCAGAAACTGTGGCATTAAACAAGCTGTCAGGACTTCTGTGAAGTTGTGATGTCACGACCATACTTTATAGACTGTTTTAAACTTGAAACATAAACATTTAATTCAAAACATATCTCATATCTACAGACCATAAATGTGAGAGCAAGTATGGGGGTGACGAGGCGTATAACCATCACATTTTTTGGACCTGCTTAAAGATATAATTGTTTTGGGGTAATATCTGAGGAGTCATGCAGGATATTCTTGGGCTGCCGATCCCACTGACATGCCTGTCACTTTATTTGGGTGACCTGCCAGAAGGAATAACAGGAAATGACAGATACCTATTAAAAATATTCAAAGTAGTGGCAAAAAAAAGCAATCACTTGTAAATGGCTACAAGTCGATCTGCCTGCTGTAGATAGCTGGCTTGAAATCATCAAAGGGATTCATAAGATGGAAACACTGACTTTCTTACTTAGACTGAGAAATGATGAGTTCAATGCAAGATGGACAAAATGGATACCATATTTTTTTGGAATAAGGAACGTGTTTGCTGGCTCAGCCCGCCTGTTCTTGTTGCTTCAAAGATAATTTACTCCCCTTCTGCTGTCTGCTTAGATCAGGGGTCGGCAACCTTTACCATCAAAAGAGCCTTTTTTGGCCAGAAAAGGAAAACAAAATCTGTCTGGAGCTGCAAAACATATTTGAGCCTCATAATAAAGGTAACACAGCTTTCTGACAGCACAGTGGTACAGTGGTTAGCATTGTCGCCTCACAGCAAAAGGGTTCCTGGTTCGAACCCAGGGTGGAGGAGCCCTGAGTCAGCGTGGCTTTTCTGCGCATACTCTGCACTAAAAAAAAAGGCTAAATAAAAGCTATGTGCCCAAACAAACATAAACACTTCAAATGGGTCCCTTTGTATTTCCTGTTAGACTGATTTGTGAATGACATCATCTGACAGCAAGTACACCTGACATCAAGCGTCTGGCAATGCAGTTCCAGTGAAACGGTCTAAAGTGCTACCTCACTGTCGTTACAATCATTCCTTCAGCTGCAATCACCAATAGTGCAAATGTGGTAGAACTAGAAACACTGACCAATCAGAGAAGACTTGGCTTTTTTGAGAAGGTGGCTTAAAGAGACAGGGACTAAAATGAAGTGGTAAATAAAACCCAAAATACAAGCATGAACCTGAAATTTAGCAGAATGTGGAACCTTAAAAGCACCGGTTACCGTTTGACAATGAAGCGGATTCCATGGCGCTCGTCCAGGATGCGTTTGAGCTTGGGAACTCCATACGTGCAGGGTCTCTTGAAGGGGATCTGGTCAGGAATGCCAATGATCTCCACGGCCCCTGGGTCACAGGCTATTTTGCGGTAGGGGACAGGCACCATGTGATCTAGACCCAGGGCCTCAGCTGGGGAGACAAAACAATAAGCAACCACATGTTTAAGAAAACCAATGTGACGCTACTTAAATATTACCTCAACTATGAGTACAGCAATTGTGGTTCATTTATCTTTATGTATTTGTTACTCGACAAACATTAATTTGCACAAGGAGAAGCAGCCTCCGGTGGAATGCACACCCCATGTAAAGGTTTGGAGAAGTGAAGACATTCCAACTAAATGAGAAATTAAACTTTAAGGGAATGATAATCGGTGCTGTGGGCTTGGATAGAAATAAATCTGAAAACAGATCCCATGAGCTAGAATGTGGGAATGCTTTTTCCTCCTTAATTTGTAGACACTGCTCATAATAGACACTAAGTATCCACTGAATAAGTGCAGTTGGACTGCTTACAAGCACCTTTTGAATGCTTTAAATAAGTGGCAAAACAATGCAAATATTTCCAGAAGTAAACTTGTAATCATCTGTATATTTCCTCTGGTTGAGCTCATTTTTTGTAGGAATTAGCAGCGTACTGTGCCCACAAATACATGTCTTGTGTAGGAAAAGATGATCAAACCAAAGCACTGACCCCAATCCATCAACATCCGTAGATACGCACAGAATCATCACTGTGCATGAAGAATTGCTTGAGGAGGCAGGGATACCTTTGCAAATCGCTGCCTTATATGTGATACTGATGCCCAAATAAAATTAAAAATGCAAAGTGAGAGGCTTTCCTTACCATATCTGCTGTTGAACAAGATCTGAACACATTCCCTCAACGTGTTGATGTCCTCAGTTTCCCGAATGAAAGAATCCCATTTTTCTGCGAGGAAAGAACCAACTCGTGTCAATGCTTTACATACAGTGACACAGAAACAGCCTTCTTTGATTAAAGTCTATTGGAGCTTTAACATTCAAATGAGCTTTCCTTCACTGGAGCGCCAAAGATCTGAAATTAATCTTCTTCATCTACTCAATGTCAACTTGGGAAATAAGTACAATCTTCTTATAGGATTACTCTTGACATCTTAGTAGCTTAGCCCTTAATGGTTAAGGTTTAGTATAGTTTAGCCTTTGTTCAGTAAACAATGCTTGGCTACTGTATGAACTTGTAAATCCAAGCAGCACACAGGAGACAGAGGAGAACACAGGCGAAGACGTGGAACAAAATGCACAAAATCCTCCTCTGGGATGGCAGATTTGAACTTCTATCATTATTTAGAATAAATAGATTTTGACAACATATTACAGCCCAACTGATGCTGAATCTTTGAGGCTGATCCTGCTGCTGACACTCTGCAAAATGTGTGAGCTTAACAGTTAAAAAAATAAACTTGTAAACGGTCCATGGTGGACAAACTATGTTGGTGTCACAGTTTATAATCAACATCAAACAAGTCTTTCTGCACAGCAGTTTCCTGATACTTAACAGCCGACATCAAAGCTGATCTCAAAGATATTAACCACCGTATCAAACTGAAACTGTCACATTTAAGATTATCTAGACTTAAAATCTCATGGCACACTTTTTAAAGGAACAGTGCCTCATTTTCGGAAATGCTTGTTGACAATAGATCGATACCTTTCTCATGTCTGTAAATATAAAGATGCCCGAGGGACACAAAATCCTCCTACTAGCACCTGTAAAAGGTCACTAATTTCTTAATGTTTTGTGTGGATTCAAATACAAGATGTAAAGTGGAGGGTCCATCAATATGAAGTCTAACCCACAGAGCTATTATTTCTAGGGATGTCCCGATCCAGCTTTTTTACTTCCGATCCGATACCGATATTACAGCCTTGAGTTTTAGCCGATACTGATACTGATTTGATCCAAGCGCGTAGTCATGTCATGTCAGTCATGTTAGAAAAGGTTTGATCAAGCGATATTACTCTAACAAGAACAACTACTTAATCCGGTTAGTGAGAATGATCCACAACAGTTGGTATGAGAAACTGACCTGTTTATTGTGAACAGGATTAAATAAACAAACTTTAAACTTGAACATTAACATTAAATAAAAAATATAGCTGGTTTGCTTTGGCTGCTTTGGCCCCTTAATAAATAGAAAATAAATCAACACAAGAAATCTTTAAAATGTCTTAACATTGAAATTAAAATAGCAGCAAGACTCCACACACTTGTGCTTTGGCCCCCTAATAAATAAAAAATAGATTAACACCAGGAGACATTGTTGACATTTAACAAACAATGCAGCCTTTCCTTTTCAGTTATTTTTGTAGTGTCAGTGCCATGAAAAACTGGATCGGAGTTCTTGGATCTGCATTTTTCCATGCAGTCTGATCCGATGTCGATGCACATTTTTTGCTAATATCGGCGGCCGATACTGATCCAAATATCGGATCGGGACATCCCTAATTATTTCTAATCACAGTAAAGGTTTCCAAAAAAACAAAAAAAAAAAAAACAAAACCCCGACACACACATAGAAGTGCTTAGTGGTAGAGCAGGTGCCCCATGTACAAGGCTGTTGCCGCAGCGGCTCGGGTTCGAGTCCAGCCTGTGGCCCTTTGCTGCATGTCATCCCCCTTCTCTCTCTCTCCCCCTTTCACACTCAACTGTCCTATCCATTAAAGGCAAAAAAATGCCCAAAAAAATATCTTTAAAAAAAAAAAAAAAAAAAAAACTGCAGTTCCCCAAATGGCCACTTGAGGCTGGCTACAAAAGTGAGTCAAACCCCAAAGGCAACCACATTAAAATGCCCAACTTTACAGCAGAAATAAACATGTTTACAGCCTGGTACAAAAAATAGGTTTAGTCTCTGTAGCTAATTTTTCCGTTCATGTTGACTGTTATAATTAAGGACATGTCTGCTTTGAGTGCCAGGTGGGTGCTACCCTGTGGCAGCGTTGGTGAGGAAATGTGACCATGGCTTAACTCCTAAAATCAGAGTTTAGCCGTAGCCGTGGCTGTTATGACATAGCATGAAAGTTAATTGCAACTTTCTGGTTGCATATAAAGTCTTGTCCAGCGTTTGGTCTTGTCCAGTGTAATACAATGTCAGTGAAGCAGTGACATTTAACGTTAAAGCTAACTGAGAGGAAATCTGCCAGCAGTATTCAGAACATCAAGGTTTGCGCAGTTAAAATCTTTCACATCTTTAAATATGATTGAAAGGCTGCTCTTCAATGTTGGCTTTCAAAGCGAGTACAAAGTATTCTGTCAGTTGATAAATCTGACTCACAGGTTATTGTTGTTGCTCATTTACATATCCAAATATATAATTGTTGCCTGAGACAAAGGATGTTACGAGGGGTAAACTTGCTCAGTCTGTCTGACGCCTCTTTGAAAAACAATAAACCAGTGTTATGCATTTAAATGAGGCCAGCTGCTGACAGTAATGTGTGATATTGACATAGCTTGTTGGTTATACGTTAAACCATACCTGACTTTTCATGCACGATGGAGAAGAGTAGCCTCTTGGAGATGTGGATGCCGGGAGGGCTCTGACCTTGCTCACCAGGTAGTCGTGTCGTCTCATCTGAAAATGTAAGATGAATGAATATGTTCAGATCAGTTCACTTTCAGTCAGAGATGTTCACTAGATGTTCGGTAATTACTTTTTTAGTTTGACTAAATTATGTGTTTTTCTACATTTTAGAGTCTTGACTTTTATTGGAGCACTTCAAATAAACAGTAGGTAAACAACCTGACTTACCTACCCAACTACTGGTGGCTCTGTGTTAAATGACTCATTTAGAGATATGAGTATAACAAGAATATGTGCTATAAAAGTAAAGTGCTGCTTTGGATGAAATAATGAGCAGTATAATAATCAGACTTCAAAGCACACAGCAAATTTAACACTTTTCCAGGCACACCGGAGGCGAAGGATAAAGCACTTAGTCTGAAATACATTTTTTTAATACAGAGATTTTGCTTTTCATTATCATTATGATCATCATTGTGAATGTTATGTCAATCTTGAATTTTGCCTATTCACAAAAGGGATCTTCTGAAATTCACCCAATATTGTTTGAGAAGGAGCCAATGTTCTGCAGCTGGCAGTCAAGCTCTGGCTGTTCTGCTCTGTTAATGCTGCGACTGTGGAACACCCACCCGAAACATCATATAACACTGTTAGAACCATGAATGTATAAAGAGAACTGTACACAAGAACATTTTTTTTTCATTTCATTTCATTTCATTTCAAATGAAAGGAATGCCAAAGAATGAGGTCGCTGAAACAAGTGGCCAAAATAAGTTATCTCCGTGGGGTGGCTGGGCTCAGCCTTAGAGATAGAGTAAGGAGCTCAGACATCCGGGGGGAGCTCGGAGTAGAGCTGCTGCTCCTTCATGTTGAAAGGGGTCAGTTGAGGTGGTTTGGGCATCTGATCAGGGTGCTTCCTGAGCATTCCAGGCACGTCCCACTGGTAGGAGGCCCTGGGGTAAACCCAGAACACGCTGGAGGGATTACATATCTCATCTGGCCTAGGAACGCTTTGGGGTCCCCCAGGAGGAACTGGAAAGTGTTGCTGGGGAGAGGGACGTCTGAGGTGCTGTGCTTTGCCTGCTGCCCCGCGAGAGATGTGTCCAAGTCAGCGGATTTTTGAGGTACATCATCTTCCCAGTACAAACATTTAAACAACTTTTATTTAAATCACTGTGTACTAAAAGTTGAAAAATTCACTAATAGCCAAATCTAAAATGATTTTCCAACTGTCATTCACGTGAACCCTAGACTGAGCAGGTGGGAGGAGGGGTTAAAGTTAAGTGTACTTGCTCTAGTGAGGATGCGGGTGAGTTTATACCAGAAAGTCGAATGTTTTTGGCTTCATGAACCACTGAGAGACTTTCATAGGAATGAACAGGGCCGGCCTCCCACACTGTATCCCAGTGGTTCTCGAATGGTGTGCTGTGATGCAAACCCAGGTGTGCCATGGGATTTCGTGATAACCACACAGTATTATTACAATATTCAACTGGGCCTATACCAAAAGTTATGAATGAATTGTTATTTGACTGTATCAGTATGTTGTGCGCACCCATTTCCTGATAAAGAATCAAACTCAACCTAAAAAAAAAGAATCTAATTTGATTTAATTAAAAAAACCCTCACAAGGAACTTATTTGTCACCGTTCACACGTGGGAATTAGAAGTGCGTGACACATCACATTAGATTACATTATTTCCTGTTTAATGGATGTGTTATTAATGTTTTGATGTAATTTTAAACTCAAAAAGTTTGAAAACCACTGCTGTATCCAACTCTCTTTACATCCATGGTTGAAACTCACCCTTCACAAGGGTTGCACAATTATTCCAACATTAATCAGGATCATGATTTTGGAATTCCCTCAACTAAATGGACACGATCGACTGCGATACTGATGTTCAACATGTGTGCTCCTCTCTGCTTCATATCAAATTAATCGCCTCCTGAACTAACAGCCAGCCTTCACTTTTGAAGAGCTGTCATGCCGCTATGCATGCACCCTGCAGCAGCAGCCTGAGAACATTTTTCCTGAATGTTGTGACTGCAGACGGGCAAAATGAAAATCATCTGTTCATCATCCACCATCATCTGCTGTGTGGAAGTATTTCGGATTTAAAGTACATGAAACTTGTGTCTGCTCTGCGACACAGCACAACGTACTTGTTAAACAACCTTAAGAAAACACCACAATCTGAATGAACGAGGCCAAGACAAATACTGCTGCTGAAGTTACCTCAATAAATCCCTGTGCATCAACTCAAATATCCAGAATGATGCTGCATAGAGCGCCACAGCACCGTGAACATACATGAGTACAATACACTAGTACATTTGTACCTCAGCAGGAATGTAGCACAACATGGAGCGAAAGCAGTCCTCTGTTTATTTAAATGTGAAAGTACAATAAAAAATCCTTTGCCCCTAAAATCAATGAATAATTGCTATAAGTAATCATGATCTCGATAATCGTGATCATCATTTTGGCCATAATTGTGCAGCCCTTCCCTCCACACACGGACATCTTACCATTGTTTGCACAGTCCTTGACAGACGTGCTTATCTTGTCTGTCCCTACTGTCCAGTTGGCCAGCCTGTCCTTGCCCAGGTTGAGGAGCGACATGGGCTTGAAATCCAACTTGCCATCCGGGTGAGGTTTGGAGGACATGGGCATGCCGTACAGGAAGTTAGACAGGACAGAGTTGCTGGAAGTGGCGGGACTTGATGATGTGACTACCTGGGCAGTAGTCTTCCCTGGGCCGTGGCTGCTCGGTGTTATGACGGTGGTGGAAGAGTTGTGATTGACATCAGTGCTGGATTTGGCTTCTCGAGACAAATCTTCTGCTGGCCTGTACACAGACACAAAATCAAGAGGAAAGCCATTTGGAGGGTCACATACATCACAGCAAGACATCAAGTGTTTTGTAAACTGTATTGCCTGCCAATTGCCTCTTGGCTTACACCAACATTTGCTGCAGAAACAGCTCTTTTTGAGGAGGGCGAATGGATCTGCTCCATTATGACATCGCCTTGATAACCTTTAGAGAAAGTAGCTAAACGATAAATGAAATGAGATGATGTGTTTATTTGGTATTTCAGCTCTTCACCTTTGCCTTCGATTCTACGGTTGTTCTCTCTTCCTCTCGTCATGTGCTTCTTCAAGATAAAGTGGCAAACGGACCAAACACAAGTTTAAGTCTCTATCTTAACAACATTTACACTGTGTTGCATGTATTTTTAGGTTGTTCATATTCAGCTTTCCTTATGCAAATGATGACACAGTAAACCCTCAGTTTTTTCTGGGCAAGGCATGTGACAGTTCTTAATGGTGCAAACACTGAGAGGAGAGTCTTTACACTCTGCTACAAATCAGAGAAGGCAAAACTGAAACTGAAAAAATATGTGAGTAATCTAATTACTTGATAGCTGCAGAGCATTTAGTGTTTTCAAGGCAGGGTTCACATTGAAGGGAAACTTTGGTATTTTCCCACCTGGACCTTTATGCTCTGCCATTTCTCCTCTAATCATCACGCAGTAACCTGTGACAGGCTGTTATGTTACCACAACTATCACAGGATGGATGGAGCTTTTTGTCGAGCTGCGAGCATCACCTAGGTTTACATTACCAAAGGTTTATGACAAAATCACTTGACGACACAGACTCCTGTGTGCGCACGGTGAGAGAGGAGAGGGAGAGACGCTGTGCTGCTGCCAGAGGAGCCGCTGAATGAGTTCCCTCTGAGCGGTAAGTCACTAAAAGAGTCTGAGAAGTCCGGGGCTGTTCATAAAACATTCAGGATGCCAGTTTATTCCACACTGCTGAAGCTGCTCCTCTTTTAGTATCACGATACTAATTTTTCATATATCAAAAATAATACCTGTATGATTGTGAACGAGATGATATGGCACACCCCTCACATTTGGCCAATCAGATGGAGCCCTACTGCCCTAGATGCCAGGATGTAGATGCAAGAGGGTGACTTAAGGCCTACTGGTTTTGTTTTTTCTCATGTCAAAAAAACTGCTGAGAGTGAACTTGTGTTTTGGACATGATCATACTGCCCATGATGTGCTCTGCATAGATCTAACACCTGTCCGCCCGCCCACACGTTCCCATCACCCGGCTCTCTGAAGCTCGGTGTGCTGCTATTTCCTGCTGAAGAGGAAAGGGTGGCAAGACGGTCCCCAAGGACTGCTGGTAGACAATAACCTTGTATTTTAAGGTTCATAAAATACACCACGAATAAGTAGGATATTACTACAGACTATCCTGTCATCTTACTGCATCACTCACTGACGCCATGTCAGTGGTGCTTTTCTTTCTCCACTTGAATGTTTATCAAAACAAATTCTGTGACACTGACATGTTGGTTACAACAGCTTAATAGAATAATTAGAGCTAACGAAACAAAAACTGCTTGGGTGAATTCACATTTTTACAGCCTTCAGGATTAGTGTATCTTCCTGGGTAACCTAACCTAACCCTGTAAGTTTATATGGGGTGTTCACTTTGTATTGGTAAACACATACTGGGCTCATGACCTTGATCAGCCTGACTTAAATGTATATTGCAATCATACCAGTACCCTCCCCACAACTACATACTATAATCAGAGCATTTTGGCTGTCAACAGGTTCAAAGTCAACATAGACTGTCCCTGCATGACATTCCCGCTCCTGTCCTTGCTGTCACCTGTTCATTATGATCTGTTTATAAGCTGAGTGACTGAGCTGACCTCTCAAATAAATGTTGACTTAACCTGAAGTCCTACAACAAGAACCAGTAGCTAGGCTTTGTTCAGACAGACATCCGCACTGTGTGAAAAAATTCTTGTTCAATTGAAAGGTGTTTTTTTTTTTGGCTGGATCAATCTGCATTGGCACCCCCGACATCAACATAAATCTTACTCCAAACATGTTCTGGAGAGAGACTAACATGTAACCTGAGAGAGTGTTTTTCCACAGCTGAATTAAAACCCTGTCTATCCTTCACTAATGCACTACAGCCTGTCTGCTACCAATAACTAGCTCCAATAGATGCCAGGACAGCTATGTGCTTTCAGCCATACACAAGCATCTATCTCTGGAAAGCATTAGAGGCTAAGTTGAAATGCCAAACTTCCTTTTTTCCATTTTGGTGTGATCAGATGTGAAACAGCTGGTTTCATAATCTGATGCGAGCGTTCAAACAGCAGTCTGTTATCCCCCACAGCAGTGTGTTAGACAGTAACAGACAACAGATTTTGACTTCGCAGATGCACCTTTTTACTGTGAACTGGATGCGGTGGCTCTGCTCCAGAATCTTCATCAGTGTCTTGGTATCATACTCAGAGGGCTTCTTCAGGGTGACTCCCTCAGGCAAACCGTGGGCCACCACACAGCTGGGGTCCTTCTGGATCCACTCATAAGGCACAGGGACCAGGCTGCTCTTCCCAACAGCCTCACCTGCACATTGCACGAGGTAGTGTGAGCACAATGGCAATGTAGTACAGAATAAAACCTAAACGAAAACGCTTCTGTTCTGCTTTTGGATAACTAGAATTACAACTAACTAAGGATAAATCTTTGCTTTGGTCATTTATGTTTTTGTTATGAATAGGGTTTCACAGTTAAGATAAGAGTTGTATGGCATTAAAAATAACTACTGAAGAAAACATGCTGCACTTGGTAAATCCTTACTGTAGAGTACAGTGAAGACTTCCTCCACCATCTTCCTCAGAACAAAGATGTTGGACTGAGCATCCGATGGAGCTCTCGGTTTCCCGTGCTCACCATCTTTACTCGGTTTGCTGAGATCGCCTTCCTGGTCTTTGGTATGGGCGTTTGCTGTGGTCAGATTCTGCAGACATGGCCCCCCTAAAGCCAAATAACAAAAACAAGATTAGAGATAACAAGTGCAAAAGAACATTTCAGATGCTTGTAGGTCCAAATCGAACAAAATATGAGTCTGAAGAAAGTAAATTTAACTTTCTTTTTACGATTGTTTTTCCTTAACGAAGTCAGTTCTTTGACTTTGAAGTAGCTGTATGTGACATTCATTCATTTATATAGCAGCAAACCAGTATTTGTTATGCAAAGATATAGTTGAGTAATGGCAGCTTCTGTGTGGCCTGTTGTGGTAGCCATGCTGGCCACATTCTCCTTGGTGCATGTGAGTCCCTATGAGTGTATCCCACTGGCTAGCTCTTCACCACAACTCTGCACTGCACCCATACCACTGTTACCTCTGATATCACAGAGATTGCGCTATAGGGCTGTTATCAAGTCCCTTCTTTATGCTGCCTTTGCTTATTTACACAGAACCAAATGACGGCAGCATCATCCCGCTTCAGTGTGTGATTTTAGACAGCACACCAGCATCGTGGAATAAAGAGAGGCGTGACGGACGTGACATGTAAGACAACAGCGTCAGCAGCACTTTATAAATAATAACAAATGGCAAAAGATGTCAATAATAATTATTTACTGTCTCTGTTATATGGCAGCTGATCTTGTCCTCTGCTTAGAGTGTAAGGAGCTCCAAAATCTCATTGTTTTCCCAATTTGCAGACATCGACGTCCACTGTTCTTCTTCTTTGAGTTAGCCGCTAACTGCTAACAGCTACTTTTTCTCCTGCAGTGGTTCGCACACATACGCACTGTCAAAATGTCGCACATGTCCTGCCCGTGGTCCCTTTGTGCCAGCTGTCCTGTTTATAGAGACACTGTTTTGGTGCTATTACAACCTCCTGTGGCAGCTGAAATGCAAGACCGCTCTGTCCTCCTATTCTGCAATCGTACCCTATACACAGCATGCCGAGGAGGCGGAACAATATTCCCGCCTTGATCAGGCAGCGTAAAAGGGGTTTCTGAATCATAGATATTCTCTGAATGCCACATACAGCTCCTTTAAGGGTGCCAAATAAAACAAGAAAAAAAGAAGATTGAATATCTGGTTCCAAAAAAATGATAAATACCACATTTTGAAAAATGGTGCCATGTAATATGAATGACTTTTTTGTCTGACAGTGTGTCAGGATAAATGTAAAGCTTCTCAAACAACTGGTGATTAGGAAGGCAAGATTAAGTCACTCAGTTCAAACACTCATCATTTGTTGTTGCTGAATACCAACTACCTCAAACATACCTAAACAAACGGTTTATGTCTATTCTATTTCTTTACTAGACAAAACAAAGTGAAGCTACTGTTCCATGTAAGTGGCAGGAAAAACTCATTTCACCTTGAATAACCAGCCTGATAAGATTAAACTGCACAATGGGAGGTCACAACCCCTCAAATTCGGGTTATTAGCTGGGAAACATTGTTGAGTCTGAGGAGGTTATTTGCTGTTTTACTTTTGCTTTCAAGGTCAACAGCTGGGACTAAATGTCCCTGTGTTGATTCCTGAAATATGGCTCATCTTACAAACTTGCATACTAGTTTGTTTATAGGAAATGAAGGCCCTACAATTTGGATGAGAAGTATACTGACATATTTTCTCACAAGGCAGCTCTGTCGCCATCAGTGTGTGAGTGTGTATGTAAATGAGGGATTGAGAGGCCAATTGTAAAGTGCTGTGTCCATTACGGCAGAAAAGTGCTGTGTAAATGCACTCCATTTACCTTAATTTGAACCTCTATTAGTGACAAGTATTGCAACATTAACTTACACCTATCTCCTCCTAAACAAGCCTCTGACACGCTAACTGTTTGAGCGTTATGAGCAATTCAGTGATTGAGTTATTTTGCAAACGTAACACATCGAAAGGTTTTGCCAAATGAGATGTGACAAGACAGTTAGTGAATATATCTTTTTATCGAACAAAGTGTGATAAAATGTGTGAAACTGTAACTACTTTGTTTCCTGCCGAAGTGATCTGACATTGAGAAAACCCACGAGGTGCTGCAGTTATTGAAGCTTTTGGCTGAATCTGCATTTGTGCGATCGCAAAACTGTACAATCCTACAGGGAGAGGTCTGACACGAGTGCATTTTTATGTAAGTGCCTCACAGCCGTAGCTATAAAGAGACTGATCAATGCTCTGTCAAGAGGGAATAATAGAAAACAGCATTTGCAATTACACACGCAGGAGAGCAGAACTTACGGCAGAACTTGTAGAAGTCTGTTTGGATTTCCCTCCTGGAGTTGAGAAACACTCTGCCCTTATCTGTGCCGACAGCAATCACACTGTCTTCGTGCACGGTGACACACGCCACCTCAGCATTGAGCTTAGACATCGCCATGCACTGCAAAACAAAGAGGCATCATTTACTCATAAGTCATTACCATAAACTCTGAGGAGGACGTGCAACTCAAGAGTTTGTTAAGAGCTATTCTGATTCTCTTGAGATGGAACAAGATACTTAATTCAGCCCTCAGATACTCTCACAGGATCGTGCATATTATGAGTTTCATAAAACTGCTACAGAAACGCAATGTAGATGTTTATTAACATGTTTCAATGGGGGTTTTCAGTTATTTGCTAAGAGCAGTTAATAACCTTGACGCCACAGATTGAATAAGATCTCCAATGAAATGACATTGTGTGAGACTTGATCTGGAACATACCACTGAGTCGAGGGCAGACACCAGGCTGGTGAGGATCTCCTGTCTGGCTGACACCAGCGGGGCCTGTGGGTCGCCCCGGGAGTTTGTCCTGATGCCATCGCATGCCAGCTTCCTCATCTGAGCCATGCCTCTGTGGGGACCAGATGAATACAGTTTAGGCAGGAAGCCACGGTGCGACACAGACAAACTCTGTACGTGAGCATGCATTCATGTACACATGCAGCAGTGACCTGCATTCAAAGCAGTTTCTGCTGACATCACTTGGTTTGACTTTAAGCAAATATAAGCGTGCATTCAGGGTATCGATCTGAGACTGGAGGCTGGGAGATGAATCAAGTGAGAAAGGGGAGACGCTTTTTCTCACCTAGGGTGCATATTTCATATCCTAACGAGATAGATTCTACAGCTATATTAACAGCTCTGTGAGGCTTTATTTAGGCACAGTTAAATGCTTACAACATTATGTTAACATGCTCACCATCAAAAATGTTAACATACTGATAATTAGCATATAATACATCAGACCAGCAACACATAATCCAGAGTAGGCTCTCATCTCCACGCCCACTTTTGGAGGAAAACAATCCAGGATTACATCTTAACATCAACCGTGTGCACAGAGGAGGTTGAAACATGCCTCCAAATTTCTAATGAAAACAAAGCGGTTGAAAATAATGAGGCAAACCGAAGAGTTGCTGTGTAGGTATCATGCCATGGCCAACTCCTTGTTGCCTTTTGGGGGGAAAAACGCACTGTGACATAAGGAGAGAAACAAGGAAATGCAGACAAGCTGGTGTGTAGCGGGTTAATCAAGGCTTTCACAATGAAATCTGAGGCACTTAATATACCCAATATTCACTGTCAGTGTGGTAAATTACTAAATTGTGCTGGTGACAGTGAACATTAGCTGAGTCTAAGGCTGCTGCAGTCACTACAGTCATACAGTATAGCAGCATGACTGTCGTCTCCAGCTAAATATCAGCCTGGATCAAACGGCTGGCTGTTATGAGGTTGGTTTTTACAAACAACAGTGATTCAATCAAATACTGATGTCCAGATTAGCAATATCCGGCCACTGTGTTGGGTCATTTATCCACTTGGAAGGGACATGATGCCGATCAACATTAATTTATTAAGTTATCCTGAATGCTCAGGTTCATGCAAGGTCGCAAAACAACCATTAGACATGTCTACATAGCAGATGTTTGTTTAACAAGTAATAAATGCATGCAGACACGCTAAAATATAATCCACACACTTTAAACTGCATTGACAAAAATATAAAATATGATCTTTGGCTTCCTATCCCCCAAAATAGGGCACAGCCTGGACATTCTGCGAAGGTATTTGGTCATAAACCAGAGTATTGGACAAATGTGAGTTTTTAATTAATCCTGAAGAAGATGCAAATGTGTGACCAAAGTTTCATGGCAGTCCATTCAGAAGCTGTTGTGACATTTCATTCAAAACCACAAATGTCAGCCTTACTATACGTTCAAACCAACAGCGACCAGAGCTTCCAAAACGGCGGAAGTCATTCATTTTCAATGCGAGCCCGGCGACTTGGGCGACCTGGTCGTCAGCCGCGCGTCTTGGCCGACCAAAGCGACCGGAGCGGTCCGGAGGGGAGTTAAAACTCGTTTAACTTTATGGTAATGAGCTCAGATGCATTTCGGCAACAACCAATCGGAATGCTGACATGCTTCGATGAAGCGGGTCCCAGAGAACAAGCCATGTAACTTTAGTTCCTACAGCACACTTGTTCCGACAATGGATATCGAAAAGTTTATTACAGTAGTCTGCTTTGCGGCTCCTTTAAATTGACAAGCACAATCGAACGTTCGAATGATTCATGTGATGAGCGACTAGAGCGACCAAAGCCGCCACACAGTCGTGCTTCTTGGGCGTCCGCGAGAGACTTTGCCTCTTTGGAAGCTTCTGGTTTGAACATACATTTATAGTGGCACTAGAGGAAAGTCAGAGGATCTACAAAGTCATTAGGATTCATCATCTGTAAACCATAAATGTCTGTGCAAAATTTTGTACCAATCCATCAGGTAGATATTGAGATATTTCACTGGATGAGTGAAAAACTTTGAGCTGCTGGTGGTGTTGGAGAAAAAGTCGCAGGCTCAACAATAGTGATCCAAACTAAGATATTCATGTCTGGGCCAAAGTGGCCGACCGACCAACAAGGACATCCCTAGAGCCACTCCGCTAGCATGGCTAAAAGCCAAATGAATTTGTATTCGCAAGTTATGGTTTGCCTTTGTCATTTGGGGCTAATTAGAGCACTCGCATGATGTCATACAAGCCACTTTCTAATGCACTTTCTCTCCTTGACAGATGGTGCAGGAAAAAGAGATACCAAGATAACGCCTTAAGTTTCCATCACTGCACGTAGAGTACCATGGTGCAACTGTGTGATACATTTAAACAGACGCTTCCTTTAAAAAACAAAATCACCTCAACTCCAAATAACAAGACAGACAATGGAAATTAAAGTAAAGAGGCAAACACATAGGAATTGTTAAAGAAAAACTGCTCGGCTAAAGCCAGGCACTATGTTCTCATGGCAACTGAAACCCGTCTCCTTGGAAACTAATCTCGGGGCATTTGAACAATGCAGCTCTGGCCTTTAATCTCTCCAGACACTGGGAACCATTATACTAGCCTCTGGCAAGCCCAAACCACTGACTCAATAGAGAGAGGACAGAGAGGTAGAGAGAGATAGACAGAGGCAGGGAGAGAAAAGAGGAGGGTGGGTGTGGTGGGGTTCAGCTGCACCAGTCTGAACGTGCCAAGTCTGTTGGCCATCTAAATCTGCCTCCCCTGAGGCCACAGCAAACATTAGCCCCTTCCTAAATTATTACAGCCTCGAAATAGATGGCCTCTTTCCCTCACATATTTAAAAGGCAAAGGAAAGTAGCGAGGAGGAGAAAGGTGGGGATAAGCGTAGGCTCGGGATAATGCCATGTCAATTGCTGTGCAAGAGGAAGCACAAGCACAGTGTCACGGTCATGTTATGGGTGCTCTGTGAATATTGAACAGTTCAATGTGGGACAACATTAAAAAAAAAAATAAGGCAACCAACCATGAGTGTACTATACAGATGAAGGAAAAGAAAACCCAAGATTCTGAGATGCAAATCCTGCTGCAGCTCTGCTGATAGTGAATGACGCAAACTTTGTGGACTTGCCAACACTATTCACTGTGATTTCATCGAAACCATCACTTTGACAAAAGCTCACTTATTCTCTGAGCCCACAAAAATCTGCCAGCAATCCTTTTTAGTGGGAGCTACAGGTTTTGGAACTTGTACGGACTTTGTGCTTTAGTTTCTGTCTTTCAAACAGAGTTCAGTATCATGTAAAGAGGCAATCTTAAGGGTAAAGGAAAAAAACCCATTGACGTATGATTCGAAAACTGCTAAAAAGATGATTAGCAGTAGCCAACAAACTAAAAAAACCTTCCACTTTTTTTTAAACATATCGACTGATGTCTTACTACGATGTATGCCTCTTGCAGGGGCTTTCCTGCATCTTAAAATCCTGGGCAAACTGCCGGAGGGCCATTTGGAGCTAACCTCTAAGTGAATTTAAATTTGCCCACAAACTGCATAAAACCTTTTTAAGAAGACCAAAAAAGGGGCTGTAATGCGATGAAGATGTTTACTGACAGAGGGGTACTTTGGCTGCAAATCTAAATAATGTCAATATCTACACAAGTCAGCCAAGGTGACCGATGAATATTTTGTGTCTACGACAGCTCTATGTCAGTTTTCTTTCTTCTTTGGGGTTCTAAAAAAAGGGCTAAACATCACCACATGAAGGTGTATTCGCAGTAGCATTAACCAGAGCTTTTAATTAAGCCATTGTTTTTCAGCATTTACACCAACTTTACATGTCTGTACTCTTCTCTAAGTTAGTAGTAAACCTGTAACTTGGCTTACATAGTCAAATTACGAAAATTAAAGTCTGCTGGCCTGATTCGTGAGGCATCTGTTACTCTCTCAAGTCTGTGTTTTGGATTAACAAACATTTATGTCAAACAAGAAGTGCTGAGCGATATGGAGAAAATCAAATATCAAAACATTTTTTACCAAATCCCTCGATATCAACATTGCAACGATATTCTAGGGCTGACTACTGGTGCTTTCATGAAATATTTACACAATTACATTTCTGATAAATAATCGTCAGTAATGTGGATATGATGACTAAGAGGGTAAAGGCAAATAAAAAAGCAGCTAGAAGCGTCTGGTAAGTTTAGAAAATGACATCACCTTACTGTAATGCAGCCTTTAAAACCAGACAAAGACAAAAGACGACATCCACTCTCATATCCCAATACAATATAATATCGATACACTGACCAGCCCTACTTGAAAGCATGATGATGTGGTAACACACAAGGTCAGCATTGCCTACGAATGGTTTAACAAGATGTGACAGTATTCCAGAAAGTTTAATGGGACTTTAAACGCCCTGCGCACCTACACAAGCGTTTTCACTTATTCCTGATAATTACAGACCTCTGCTCAGGTTGAAGTTGGGCAGGGCAAAACTAAAATCAAGTGATGCCATGACACAAAATAAATGGCTGCACTCCATCAGACTGTGCCTTGTAATGTTAACTCCCTATCAGCTGATTGTCAAACAGTAGCAAGTAGTGGAGCAGCTGTAGGCTTTAGATGTACTCTGAGGAGTGTTTGTTTTAATCTTGAGCATGTGAATGAGGACACACGAGCTTTCAGGTGATACAGTACGCATCACTGCCAATGGTTTCACACTATTCCTCTGATCTACAGGTGGCGGTGAGCTGCCAAGAAACGGCATTGCTAGTTTTTCATGAGGAATGACATGCATTCAACATGTTTTATTCACCCTCAAGGATACACACAGTGTCCTTTGGTGAGGAGCACTGAATATAAACAGGAACTCTGTGTGTTGACAAGGTAACTCCACAGGGTACCTTTCATTTAATCTTTTGATGTGTTGGCAGTATATCACATTATCAGGTGGATTCAGCCAAGGCGAGCTATGTGACGTATGAGTCTGTCTGTGTTATTTGTCATGCTGTTGGTCCACATGTTAATTTGTTTATGTGCTGCATGGTGCCATGGATTTGGGTCAGCGTGTCGTTTTTAGGATGGAGTCAACTACGCCCGACTGGCCCAACTGGTTAAACTTGCACTCTGCAGTATGTTCGATAAAGGTTAAAAATCTGACTGATAACAGGTGGAAGATAACTAATAAGAGTTTCAAAGGCAATGTTGATTAAGTGTAGTTGGTACACGCCAACACACCTGAGAGTATGTTGAATTAGGTGGGATTATATGAGAGAATTACACAGGTACAAAGGATCCTTGGGACAGATGTTTTGTTTCAGAGGTTTGCTGCTTGTTCGATATTCAGTGGGCTAAAATAAGTTAGTAACTGAATGACTCTTGGAGCAAAATGAGCATCAGTCTCAACTACACATCTGGCATTTCACTAATCAAATAATGCGTGACAGTTAATTTCTTCAAGGAAGAAAAAGGCACAACTGCAATTTTGACGTACCAGCAATTTACAGTAAGCCAGGGTGTGGTTTGACAGCTACTATCTAACTTATCATTACAGCATACAACAACATAATCCCTTTGTTTACACCCTGTGCCCGAGGCCGTGGCCTTTTGGGAATGTCATCGGTGATGTTATGATTTTTAACTGCTCCGGTGCCAGGCAGGATTCAGTGGCGAACAAAGGACAACAGACATCAGCTTTGTGAAAATCCAATTCATATCAATCCTCCAACAAAGGACTGGATTTGACGAAATTAAAGCAACATAATGGATGGCGATATTGTGCATGGCATTTGCAGTTAATAGGATGAATCATGCACAACCAGTTATCCTTTGAGCACTGCATGGTTATTATTTTACAATTGAAAATACAGTAACATATAGTGCTTTTACACATTTTCCTTTTCATCTGCTGACAATACTTAAAACAAAATGCTGTGTTTTAAGGGTTTTGTGTTTATATAGCAGCAATTCAATGGCTTTATAACAGGTCAGCATGGCCATAATACTTGAGCTTGTTAATTAACTCATCAGAGTAACAAATATTCAGAATAACAGCTGATTTATTTTACTCAGGATGATTACAAACAAGGTAACTTTAAACTGCCATACTCTGAATTGAGCTGGCCTGTTGCTGTATTCACAGAAGATATTTTAAGGTACGAGCAGGGCCAGGAGTTGTGCTGAGAGTTTCTTGTGCTGGGAAATGCTGCCAGGAGAACTACTATTAAGTTCACATCACATGAGAGAGGAGAGGAATTACTTTGAAAAGCTGGACCCAGGAGAGAAAGCTCCAAACTACAGGATATGAGACCAGGGTGCAATAAATACAGTCTGGGTCTGTTCTTGTAAAGGAAATGAGCGTGTGTACAAATCCGTCTTATTTCTCTCCGTGTCTTGTGGATTCAATCCGGCAGACAGTTGCAGCTGACAAAGTTTTATCTCAGTCAGCTTTTTATAAACTTTGACGCTTCTTGTACCAAGTACAGGCAGACAGCTGGGAGCAAAATGGGAAGAAAACAGCACTCTAACTAACGCTGTCTGGAGTCACTGTGACACACAACAAACACTTCGCCTTATCGAAATTGTTGTCTGTTTTGTAGTTTAACAAACACTCCGCCAACCGTGCTACTCTCAATACAAGATTGTAATTAACGATAAGGCAATTAGCAACCCATTGTTTGAGTTTATTGCAGCTTTATACGGTCAAACACGGCTGGAAATTAACTCAGCGAGACTGTCGGTTAAATCTTTCTGTATTTAAACTGTTTCGCTGAAGTTCAAACGTCTTGTTTCCCTTCTCCTTTACACTCGCTACGTTAGCTAGCTGGCTTTGTTGTACTAGCTCGGTAACCTTATCAGTGATAGCAATATATGGGGGGGATAATTTAGCAAGCAGACAGACGCTGTATCCTAATCGTAAATAAAGGCTAGCACTCCACTCGCAAGGTTACAGGGAGAAGTCCCCTGTAGGCTGACTTAACCGCTAACTAACAGCAACCTTTCTTCACTACTTACCGTGTGTCTAACTAATCAACGCTGGCTCATTAGCTAACGGTATCATAATAACGTTCGGGCGAGCTAACTAGCTAGCTTACACTCGTTAGCTCTGTAGCGTTAGCCCTTTTGCTAGCTAGCGCTAGCACTTTCCTTTCATCTCCTCCCCCAGTCCTGAAATTAGGTTATAATCTGTAATTTCTAAATGTACAGTAACGAAAAGCAACACGCTCCACGACAGCAAACTATATAACTGCTCATGAATATTAAAAGGGACGGCGAAATCTCACCTTAATTAGCGATTAAATAGCCTTGTTGCTGCTGTCAATCCCGGAATAGGTTTATTCCCCCGTTTTAATCCATCAGAAACGCTCACAATTCCCATCCACAATGAAGCTGTGCCGTCTGCTAAAACATCGTAATCCGCCACATCACAATGTGGACTCCGACCGCACGTTTTACTCTCTATTATTTGTGTATTTTTTCTTAGTTTATTTGTCTTTTTCCCTTAACAGAGCAGGGTGTCCCTTTCCCCTTTCTTTGTTCTGTAATCCAGTAAAATTGAAACTCATTCGCCTCCTGCTAATCCCAGCCCAACTCAACAACAGCATCTATTGGCTGCGATTTACATACAGGATTAACGGAGGAACCTCTGGAAATACCCCCGGGCGACAAAATTTACATGCAAAGGAAATATTCCAAGTGCGATTTCTTATTATATTAGGACTATGACAGTTCAAATCACTGTCTGCCACTTGGCTGCAACTTCACACTGTCAGTTTTGCTTTGAGAAATCCCACAGACTGCATGAATGTGTGGTTTGGTGACAGTTGTTGAGTGTCCAAATTATTTATTTTTAAAGATTTAGTCAAAGTGGATGTACAGCAGCTACATGGATCTTCTGGCCATGACATTTATGCCACGGCTCTCTTGTGATTGCCTAAAATAGCTTGTCAGTTTGATATAGGGTAAAGTTCATATCCTTGGGGAGGGAAACAAATAGTTATCTTGTAATAAATGTTGCCAGAAACCATTTATAATTAACCTAATCCACTACATCACTATAATCTGGTTACTTTTGCATTAATTTACACCCAAATCACTGTGAAATATTAACTCAAACTGTGTTTCACCAGGAGTAAAAATGTGATTTGTGCCTCTGCTTCACACACGCTGTACTTTTTGCTCGCTTCTGCAAATAAGTAATCACTTATTTATTCAAATGTCACCAGCATAACCAATCTGCCCTCTAGCAGAAAACTGGGACACGTGGATAAGACCTGACATTTGCCAAGGCCAACAAGTAAAAGTGATATGTGTGGAGCTTCGAAATCCAAAGATTGTAAATAAACATGCAGTGTCTGGGTGTCAGGAGCTTGGCCCTTTTCCCACACAAATGAATTATTGCCTCCTCCTCTCATCAAGTAATTTTAATACCAAATATTTGCCCGAGATGAGATATTTACAACAGGATTTCTCTCTCTCTGTATATGTGTGTGTGTGTGTGGCAGAGCAATGGATAAATGGTTATGGCTGCAGGCACAATTTCCCAAACCACTGACTTCTTAGTGGTATGAAATCTGACACCACTTTGAATCAGCTTTGCAGAAATATACCTATCTTCTGTGCTTTGCCCTCAAAAACAAACATACAGAAGTGACACAAGTATGAAAGTGTGAAATAAAACACCACCAGCCCTTGCCCACATTGTTAATATTTAATGACTCAATCTCCGAAACCATTGCAGCAATAATCCAAAGGGTATGAACCCTCCAGCTGAAAAGGCCATGTACAATATCCAATGGAAAATTTAGTTTTTACCTCAGCTGACTGGTGCCTGCCCTACATGCTTTGCTCAGGAGACACCCCTATTTCCACCCCTACTCAACTCTGCGTGGTGTCTCCTGTGCAGCAATAGCAACCTATGACCAACTACAAAACAGGATCTCCTAGTTTAGTTATGGATAAAACAATATTTGGAAGACTTATGGTGTAAATTCTATACGTGTTGATGACATTTTTGCAAATTAAATCCAGATGTTACAAACCTGGGGAGGGACATTGTTTGGATTTTAGCTCCTGTGACAGCCCTTCAGTAGCCCCGCTTAACAAAAGGACAGTAAAGTAATCCACATTTAGATACAGCATCAAAATGGGCTCAATCAGGCGTCACCTGGGGCTGCTATGTCATAGCATATAGAGTTAATTAATACTAGTGTATGGATGGAGTCTGATACATAGTCCACAGTAAATAAAATAGCTGATAATTACTTATAAGAGGTGTATTGGTACAGGGTCAGAGTTTAACAGAACAAAAAAAGTCTAGAATAATTCACTATATTCATCCTATAAACATACTGTAACATAACTCAGAGCTGAATTCAGGAGGTCTCCCAGGTTCATGAAGTCCCAGCAGGGAGTCCACTGATGTGCAATGGCTAAAAAGGACTACTTTTTTTTTTTTTTTTTTTTTTTTTTTTTTTTTTTTAGGAAGATTGGCCCAATAGCAACCTTAACTGAACCTTGAAGAGAGCACTGGTGGTTGAAATCATCTCTGTCAGCCTTGTTACAGATAACTCTCCCCTCGTGTACACATGGATGATAAAGAATACTTTATAATAAGCAGAACTTATGAGGTCGTTTCATGTTTTGTCCATGGCACTGAAATAATTATGTTAATTGTTGTGTTCCTCAAACACGTTAAACAAGTCAACAAAGTGTATCCTATCTTCTTAATTGGTTCTGATGATAGTTGGCCTAGATTCGACTGCAGGTAACCATAGCAACAGTGGTGATGCTTTAGAGCATGTTAGTTAATGTTAATGAAGGATTTAACCAGTTCTTCTACATATGTTGGATAAAAAAACATTCCAACGTTCCTGTAATGCTTTCTTTGTTGTGGCCGTTATATAAGCGTGATAATGCACTCAAAGGATGGAGGAAGGAAAACCGTTTTCTCTGTTTTGTGTGATACCTCCACCTTCTCCATCTCCATCTTTTTACTCATGTTAATACATTATGCAGAGCTTGATTGCTTACATAAAGGCAAAGTCTAAACCTGACACAGTTTTCAGAGAGTAAATGCACATTCATGAAGGACACTTTAAGAGTATTGTAGCTTGCTGTTGATGTTATCCAGACAGCGCTTTTTTGTTTTTCTGGTATCTGATTTCATAAAAGTTAAAGGAACAACGTGCAAGATTTAGGGGGATTTAGGACATGTTTACACGGAAACGATCTGCTGAAAATGGAATCATTTCTCATTTTCTTTTTTGAAAGAAGTTCTGTGTTCAGACGGCAGCGTTTTGATAACAATCATCGTGCACACGGATCTGCAATAATGTCCAAAAACACTGTAGTATACATGCCAGGCCAGTAGATGGCGGTGTGACTTTGCAATCACACAACACGCGCCTGCACACATGCACTTCCTTCTACAGAGTGGTGATGTATAAACAAATAAAACGGCAACCGCACGAATGTTTGTCTGGACGGATGATGAGGTGGAGTTGCTACAGTACATCCACACTTTGCTGGAGAAGCGTTGATAAATTCAAAAGGGTGAGCACTACAAACAGAGCTCATGAGTCCGCCATTGTTGTTGTAGTCAACTTTCTTGCACATGCCTAGTGACTGGAACCATAATGCACATGTGCATCAGCCAAAACGCAACTAAAGTTTACCGCTTTCAGTTGAAATCATTGTTGTGTAAACAGGACCCTAGTGTCAACTAGTGGTGGGCATTTTACATGTCTTCATCTCTTCACACCTAGATCACTGCAACAGCCACTTTTCTTGCCTAAATCAAAAATGTATGAATCGACTCCAGAATGTAAAGAACTCAGCTGTGAGGCTTTGAACCAGAACAAAGAGACGTGACCACATCACTCCAGTTGTACCCTCTTTACATCGGCTCCCAGTATGATTTAGAATAGATTTTAAGATTTTACTGATCACTTTTAAGTTTCTTCATGGACACTCTCCCAGCTATATCTCCGACCTCTTAGTGCCGTAAACACCAGGACGTACTTTGAGGTCCTCGGGCAGAGGTCTTTTGTCTGTTCCACAGGCTTGGATTGAAAACTAAAGGGTACAGAGCGCTGGTTGTCAGGGCCCCGAGGCTCTGGAACAGTCTGCCTGAGGAAATCAGGTTGGCCGAGTCAGTCAGTCTTTGAAGTCCCTTTTGAAACATACTTTTATTGGAAAGCCTTTCCTGATTTTACTTGAGTTTTAAGTCCATTTATTGTGTCTTTTATTTCCTCAGTTTTTATACACTTAAGTGTTTATATCAGTTCTTTTAAAAGTTGTTGTTTTCATGTCTTGTCTATTTTAATCATTGACATGCAAAGCACTTTGTAACTCTGTTTTGAAAAGCATTATATCATCATATCATTATAATTATTCTTATCCACAGAGGTCTCCTCCTCTCCAAAAAAAAAAAAAAAAAACAAACAAAAAAAACCAAACAAACAAAAAAAAAAAACGGATAAAAACACCCAATAACGCAGTTTCATGTTACAAATCAGTGCTTCTACGATGATGGTCAGCATTTTGGGCTGCTAGCTCGGCACCTACTAGTGTGTGCTCACCTTTTTACTCTGAAAACTTAAGAACAAAATGTTCATGAGGTATTTACCAGAAGCCGAATTATCCGCAGAGGTCTCTTTGTCTCCAACACAAATGGACACGGTGATTAAAATCGGTAAAAATACTGAATAAAGCAGTTTCATGTTAAAAATTGGTATTTCTCAAATGCTGTTTGGCATGTCGGCGGTGGGGGCTGCTAGTTCAGCACTTGCTGTTATGTGCTCATCGCGGAGGGGCTGCTTACTATAGTGTTCTACGTGAAAACACAAATGGTCCTATCTTGAGCCAGTGTTCGTTTGTCTTTTCTAGGCTTTTGCATTAACAACATGCCGCTCCCTGTGTAGATATAAACAGCTCATTCTAAGGTAAAGAAAACACAAAGATTCTTGTCGTCAGGTGATTATATGCTAAAGAAAACATAATTATTATGTTATATTCCATTTCTGACAATGTATATCCCCAAATCCTACACACTGGATTTTTAAAGAGTGACAAAAAGTTAAAACACATTCACACACACACACACACACACACACACACACAAATTGGATGGCTTAAAATCTGTCTTTTGCATTATCAAAGTGAATGAGAGGATTGAGACAGAAGCAGAGTATTTTGTTGCGGACTGGTGGAAATAAATAGTGTTTGGAACAGACTCAGCACTCAGATGGAAACTGGAGAAGTGGATTATGTGGTGGGAGGTGGTTTTGAAGATGGTTTAAAAATAATTTCCAACCAAATCCTGGCCACTGTTGGAATCCATCATAACAAAAATGGATTTAACCTGATCACAACCAAGAGAGATGAATAATAAACCTTCTGAGCTACTTTGCAGGCCTGTGTTTGTGTTTTCTAATCATAAGAGAGATTTGAGGTATTATTAAAGATCATTTTTAATACTTCCATTACCTGCAGTCACCCACAATTACTTATCATATTGTACACTAAAGCCGAAGCGTGAACACTGGACAGAGCTGAGTGTAATGAGTTTTCAACCAGTTCTCTCTACAGGTATTAAGTAAAGTGACAACTGAGCCAAACTCCCTAAAAATAATAGTCAGTCATCCTTGAAGAGTTGCTCTGAGTATCACTGGCCGAGACAGCTCACCCATACAGGATTATAACAAAGCTGAGGAGAAGAGTAAAAGCAATAAACAAACAAACAAATCGACTGAGACCCAGTTCTTCACATCGTCGTCCACAAGCCGTTTTGCCTTCTGGTTCAAAATGAAGAATTGTCACAGAGTCCCCGGCAACTCGCAGACTGAAAATTTCTAACTACTGTAAAGCATCAGAAGTTGCCATACTGTACGTTCTCAGGAGTTGTACCGATAATATCTCTTCATGTCCATGTCCCATTTCCTGTTTATATTTTATAGTACTTTAAGCGGTCTTCATGATTGGCTAATAGGTGCTTTCTGCAACAACACATAAATTCACTCGAGATAGAGATTCGCTGTTTTGGTTTTAACTGTAAACTGAAATGTTCTTCAGGCGTCCGTCGCAGAAATCAGGAGTAACGTCGGACGAGCTTTCTTTAAGATGTACCTCCGCATGCCCCAGTTCACTCTTATCTCTTCCGCTCATATCAGTGTTGTTCCTGAAAAGCAAAAAACAAGGCATGTTAGTACTGAAAGGTATTCATGACATCATCACATCTATAATGGTTTATAGTATGATGAAAGAATACCAACATCTCGAGTGCTGTCTGACTCCTGATGATGAATTCCATTGGCTGAATTTGCACCATGCACCTAAGAAACAAAGTCACAGATTGTCAGCGTATTCTGGATATGATTTAGCTGTGCTGTACATCAAATTAAAGGACTATTTTGACATTTTTAAAAACAAATTCACTTGACTTTCTTGCTGAGAGTTAGATGAGAAGATTGATACTAATCTCATGTCTATACAGAGAAACAGCTTGAGCTTTATGCAGGATTTATACTTTTGCATCGGATCAGCGCTGTACCCTGGGCTGTAGCCTGACATGCACTTCCCCAGAAATGTAACTACACGTCGCGGTGACGCAGACCTCCTGTCTGTTTCTGTAAGCTGAACCCATTTCCCTCAGTGGAAACAAAGCTTTTATTTACTTTAATTTCATAGATAGTCTTGTGTGTGAGATTTATCCTGGCTTCATACGAGCAGAGAAAATCTCAGCTTGTCGCTAGGCTAATTTATACAATGTAAAATGCCATAGGCTTGTGCTAATAACATTAGCATGTTGTATGTGTTTGGAAAACATGTTTAGTATAAGACGATAACGATAATGATAACGATAACGATAACGAGAAGATAAGTTGTTTTGTCAGTGTGTAATGGAGCGGAATTTTGTAACGTTGCCTTTGTTAAATATTGCTGTTGTCCCTGGCTTCATAGGAGTAGAGGAAAAGTCCACTAGCTGCTAGGCTAATTTATACGATGTAAAATGCCATTGGCTTGTGCACAACATTAGCATGTTGTATGTGTGGGAAAATGTGTCCAAATAAAGCCAAGTGCTTTGTCTGTGAATGCTGCGAGTTAAAGTGGAGCTGATTTGTGTACTTGTGTTTGAAACTGTCTCTATTAAACCATGTTTAACGTGTGTTTAATGTGCATTAATGTGTGTTTTGAATCAATGAAACTTTACAGTGCTTCACAGAAACCCCGCTGCCGACTAGTGTTTTGATGGTGTAACTGCAAAATGACACAGACACACCACCGCACAAGTATAAATGCTCAAAACGGCGTAGGCCACGTGTAGGCTATGGCGTAAGCTCTGCACAAAGCTGACGCACAAGTATAAATCCTGTTTTAGAAGTGCTGGTTTTGTTACCTTTTGAAAGAGTGAGGCAAACTGTTTACTCCTGTTTGTTGTCTTTATGCTAAGCTAAGCTAAGCTAACTGATGGTGGCTTCATCTTTACCTTGCACACATGACATAGGTCTAGATTTTCTCACTTTGCAAAAAGTGAATGAGTGTAAAATGTCAAACTGTTTCTTTTAATACACAACATGTATTAAAATCCATTTTCTCTGTACAAAAACACACACTACTACACACATGACTTCTGTTATATTTACATCCTTTGAAACTCAAATTAAAAAACCCTCGTGTTAGTTTTTCTTTATCTTCAAGCATTCTATCATCCTACTTCTTCCCAAGTTATCTCACATCAAAAAAAATTTTTTTTTCTCACTGAATCTGTGAAAGCAAGGTTTTACCGGGCTTTTATCTGGATGCCTGCGCATGGCCTGGACCAGCTGGTCGACCTGCTGGTTGTGCTCCATGGCGGTCCTCAGGGCGTCCTCAGTGCTGAGAAGCCGCTGGCGGAGGCGGTTCACCTCTGAGTCCAGGACAGAGGGGTCCAGCATGGAGTACCGCCGGTGGTCAGGTGAAGATCGTTCCCGACCCTGAAACGCACACAAGGCAGGAAGATCATGCTTAACGTTAAATCATTCATATCACACAACAGTTTGTGTGATAAACTTCTCCACAACAGATTATCATACACTTTATATAAAGAGCACATTTTCATATTCAAATACACTGAGATTCCTTGCAGGGATCATGTCACAGATTATGCAGTGAATATATAAATCAGGGATACTCAACTTGCTTTACCTGGTGGCTATTTTTGCAAAATGACGGGAGGCCAGGGGCCAGTTTTTAGAATTTGAGGACATTCAGAACTGACCCCTGAACTTTGTAGGGGGGTCTGGGGGATCCTCCTCTGGCACTTTTTGATTAACAAGCTCTATATTTTTTATTTTTCAGTGCACTGTGTCATGTTATTTACAATCATTCATTCATTCATTTTCTGTAACAGCTTATCCTGTTGAGGGTCGTGGGGGGGCTGGAGTCTATCGCAGCTGACAATGGGCGAGAGGCAGGGTACACCCTGGACAGGTCACCAGACTATCACAGGGCTGACATATAGAGACGGACAACCATTCACACTCACATTCACACCTACGGCCAATTAAGCGTCACCAATTAACCTGCATGTGTTTGGACTGTGGGAGGAAGCTGGAGCACCTGGAGAACATACCCATGCGACCCAGAGCTTAACATCTGTCCCACGGATGATAGGCCTACACACTTATAAACAGCGCCTGGAAGAAGATCTGCACTCAGGATTTCAGGTAAATAATGCTATACAGTGCTTGTTAAGGTTGCTTAGCAACCTCAGACGCAACCCGCCACGCTCTTGAAAGCTGGCACAGAAAAGGCACAAGAGTAAAGCCCTGCGCCTGACCTCGTGTCTTCCAAGCGGTTAAAGAAGCAGCATGTGTACGGCCCCTAATTCCAGGGCTGGTACCTGCGGTTATTCCACAGGCTAGTTAATAACATGTTGGGCAGGAAATCCAAAGTGTGGGATCGTTTTGAGAAGGTGAATGATGAACCCAAGGTGATATGTAAACTCATCTTCATTGGTCGACTACAAACATGACGTATCATCTGAAACATGGAAGTAGCTACATGCCCATTAGCCCACAGCGTCATTAACAGGCGGCGGCTGACGTGCACTTGTAGATAAAATATAGGCCTATATTAACGAAGGTTCATTAGTACGGTTTTGTATTTCTCTGTAATGTAGCACAGTGTTAACAATGTTACTGATACTATTCTTTCTCACACCTTCAACTCAAACCACCAAAATATATAATTTAATAATTAAATTAATATCGATACCATGCGGGCAGCTAGTCGACTGACGGCTCTAAATGACAACTACTAGTCGACTAGGAAAATTCTTAGTCGGGGGCAGCCCTAGACATTACACTTATTACAGAAATTAGAAATTCCTAGAATGGGGAAAGAACAGGACCAAAAGTTTCAAAAACTGATCATGATGAACAGTTGGGGTCGGTTTACCCCACGAGCAATATCAGCTCATAATCAGCTCATAATCACCAAGTCCCTCCTTCTCACCAGTAGAAGCAATTTTTCACGCAGCATCTTGATGTCTTCCTGAAGTTTCTGCTCCTTGAGCTTCCACTCGGCCTTGTGCACTTCTCGGTTCAGGTCTTTCTCCATGTCCCTTGAGTGGCGATGTGATTCCAGGAGTAACACCCTCAGTTCATTCAGACTCCTGGAACAAATAAGACAAAACACAAGAGTCGCACATCAAACAAAGAAACCTCAAGTGTTTGGTAATACTGAGAAAAATAGATCCAATTTTCCTACAAACTTGACCACTCCGAAGAGCAATAATGATAAAGAAGCAGGGCAATTTCTCTGTCAAGGATTATACGACTGGTATATCTGCTCAGACCTTGCACAAAGGTCATTATCATTTAAAAGCTTACCAACTCATGATGTGAATAATATATTAGTCTGGCTGCTGGGGATTGTGGAGGCAGCCTCACCTCTGCACATGTCAGACTGGCTGGTGGAAGCCACGTTCCCATAGTCAGACTGCCCGTGCATATTTGGCTTTTTGCCCACATGGTGTTATCAGTGAACCACAAATACTCTGGGCAATAGTTTTCAGTAATCAGGGTACCACACAGTACCCAAAGGGGTTAGCCACCGTGACATCTGCCCTTATTTAAGGTGCTGTATATTCATAAGTGCACCTCACACACAAAAGCTCTCTGTCTGACCAGCTTTGTCTCTTTGTGCTGAAATTGTTAGAGCATCTTTTCAAGCTGAGGCAATAATATGTCAATGTTGTGTTCACAGCTTGTTTCTGCTACCCCCAAGTGGACAAAAAAAAAATGCAGATTTCTAGGAACTGAAAGGTTGTTTGATTTTTCAATACTGAAGCAATGCCCTCCACCTTACTGATAATGTATTCTTCCTCTCCCTTCACTGTTTCCTACGGCGCCTCAGGCATGCTGCCCTTTTGACCATTCCCAAACTTAGACTCAGTAACACTATTTTTTTTTTTTCACTGACTCGCACTTTATTATTGTTTGCTTGTAATAATCATGCTACTAAGTGGCTTTCTTGAATTATCTTGTCAACTTCAACAGATTGAAATGTGTAACAGTGTTCAAAGTTGCCTGTCTTGAGGCAATGTACTAGTTTGTTTTCCTGAAAGGATGTCACGGACTGAAATAGCTGCAGGAACATTAAGGCAGCTAATGATACCACCATCAAGTCACACTAACTCAAGGGGCCACCCACTGAATTTTTCAATGGATGGTATATACTTTTATTGCATGAACCATAATTGCTGCAGTGATGATACACAAGAAAATATTCTGCTATAGCCAAAGGCACTTATTTTTAGTGCCTTGTAGCATTTCCTAACATCATAACCATCAATAATGTAAGAACTGCATCGTGTAGGAGAGCCAATAATGTAATACAATTAGACCAATCTGTAGAGTTCCTCCTGCACTGATGGAAAAAATGCATGTGAATGTGTGTGGACTTCGTAAAACAGAGCAGGACAATGTTTAATAAAGCCCTGCACGTCTGCAATGCAATTTCTTTTTACACTTGGGTGGTTAAATAATGACCTCAATTATCAGAGTTTTACTGAATGTAGCCAGATTTGGCAGCTTGAGCTGAAGGAACAAAAACAGCTCTGGGAGGTTGCGGGGTGCGGCGAAAACAACTGAATGCAATCTGTGAGAGGTGGACGTCTGGCAGGTTTTTGTTGCTTCCCTGTGCTGGCTGCTCCCTAAACTCAAGAGGAAGAGACCCAGAGACTCGGGCCACGGGTGTCACATCAGTGTGGTGCAGCGTTCTGTGCAGAGCTGGTTGAGACTGAAAAGGTGGGGCTAGCTCGAAATAATGAGCAGTGCTGGTTGTTTCTCAACCTGCCATTTCAGCCGTAGGTGTAATGAACCTCATCAAAGTTTAATAGAACTTTATCTGTAAAATTTCAGTTCACCACTGTGATGTATCAGCCGCCAGATAAGAACTAATTACCTGCAGCTGCTGACAGAAATCAGAGGAGAAACACCATCATTTCAAAGCTGCACCAATCAATGTTTCTATATTAGCAGTGGATCAAATGTGTAACGTGAAAAGGAGCACATGTAGTGTCGAACCCAGTTCCTCTTGGCCAGTGGCATGGTGGTGGGTGTATTACTAGGTGGATGGGTCAGCTACTGAAGAGGAAGTGGGTATACTCTCCTTTAAATTCTAGTGGCTTTTTTGCTAATAGGTGGGTATGGTGTAGGCGGCAAGAAAAAGAGGAGGGTATACCCTGTATACCTGCGTATACCCTCCACTACACCACTGCCTTTAGCCCTTCGGAGAGTTTTAGGCCAAGTTCATACTAAAACGATCCGCTGAAAACGGAATATTTTCTCATTTTTGTTTAAAAAACAAAAAAAAAGTTTGTTCAGAACAAACAAAATGGCAACAGCACGAATGTTTGTCTGGATGGAAGACGAGGTGGAGTTGCTACAGTAAATCTAAACTTCACTGGAGAAGCGTTGATAAATTCAACAGGGTGAGCAGCACAAACAGAGCTTGGGAGTCCGCCGTTGTTGTTGTGATGGTCGATTTTCACGTGCATGCCTAGTGACTGGAACCGTAATGCGACCTGCATATTGCAAGTTCACATGACAACGAAGACGGTGCTGTTTCCAAAAAATTGCACTCTGGAACCCGTTTTCAAAACGTTGCATTTTCAGGCACCCAAAACGCTGCTGTCGCGTAAACGATCAGCCAAAACACGACTAAAGTTTACCGTTCACGGTTGAAATCGTTGTCGTATAAACAAGACCTTAGTGTCAACTCAAAAAAAACAACAACAACAACAACAACAAATATTGATGAAATATGTCCACTCTAATGGACCTCTTAGTTTATAATTTCAGGCAAGCAAACGGGCCGAAATGTAAAACTTGTCATTGATTATGCTTCATGTATATTATGAAGGCAGCAGGAAATTTCTTCTATCATTTAGCAAGACTTCACAGGAAATAGAAAATGCCTATATACTGTATATGTAGCACTTTTATCAGAAGGATTTTACAATTTGTCCCTCATTTACCCATTAACACAGCCAGACAGGCCCGCTGTTGGGGTGGTCTAAGGGATGACCCCAGCCCACGGTCAAGGGAGGGGGGGGGCATGAGAAGGTCTATGGTTGACCCTTAAATAGGATCAAGTACAACAGTTTGCAATGGTTTACTTACAGCCTTACAAATGCCACTAATGTGAACATGTGAAGTGGATTGCAGCCCAACAAGGTGAGTAGAATGCCTCATCAAAAAACAAAAATTCAGGGTACAGAGAGAACAAGAAAGTTAAAGGAGCAGAGAGGGAATGGCCAAATGAAGAAGCAGCAGGTATGACAGGCAGAGCTGAAGGTGAGAAGTGAGGAAGACTACTTCTAAGCAAATAGAATTGCTGTATCAGGCTCAGTTTTAAAGCTACACATGAAGACACAGGTATCATATTAAACTAGAGGACCAAATGAATCCACTGATATCAACCATGTTATGCTATCTTGTCTGAAAGGGGTCAAATAATGCTCCAAAGTTATGCTAAATTTTGGCGAGGGAAAAAGTTTCAGTTTCAGTTTTGCGCACAATTTGCCCAATATTTGATTTATTTATTTCAATAAGATGAAAAAAGTGAAATTGTGTCATTTTTACGGCGTCTGTGCAGCCTTGTTTATTCGCTGCGTTCATGGAAAACACAAATTAATGCAGTCATAAAGTGTGGAAAAGACCACATCACTGCATAACTCATAAATGTTCAGACAAGCTCAATATCTGGTTATTTGTGATGTTGTGCATATATGCAATTCAAAGATATTGCCACATTTTTTTTTCATACTAATTTGGTCACAGATGTGCAGATTGATTCAGTTATAATCATACATCTGTGATGTACAAACATAGAGGCAGCTCTGTGTAGGAGTGTGCGTTGAGTCGCACACCATGCTTCTTGTTTTGCTTTTGATGTCAAGAAGCTCGCTCTGGCTGCACTCTTTTATACAGCTGTAAACATTTTGGCTGTGCTCACTGCCTGCTCCAAGTACCATTTAAAACCTGTATGATAATCTATTTTTTAGAAATTCTGAGCTTTGTATTTTAGAAAAAATCAATGAGACAGTAATCTGGAAACAAATATTTTTTCAATTGGCGTAGGAACGTGTTTAAAAAGACCCTTAACTTATAATATTTCTCAGTTATCAGTATTAGTAGTATGTCTTGTCTTAGTTTTAGCATCGTCACTTCACAGCAAGAGGGTTCGAACCCAGAGTGGGGGGTTGAAACTAGAGCCCCAAGACTTCCTGTCTGCAGCTACTGAGCTCATCTCATCTTACTGAATATGTTTATTGCTTGTTTATAAGTTTATCGCTTTGTATTACTCTCTCACAATATGTTTTTTTTTTTTACTGCAAAGTCTATATGCAGAACACATCTCCTCTGTGTTTTAAAGTTTTAAATGAAAGCTCCCTGCATCCTCATTACTATCATGGGGACAGTTTGTTGTATTTCACCTTGCTGACAAATGAATACAACAAACACTGGTGCTTGTACAACAGCAGCACAGCAAAATGTGTCCTGATTGCACCACAGTGCATTGTTGTTTACTCACTGGCAGCAGTGGGAAATAAAACCTCTTGTTGTAGATGCTGCTGATAGCAATGCAACTCCTGCTGAGCTGATAAATGATAGAAGTTTTATCCAGATGAAATGAAATGAAATAGAGGGATTCAAATAATATCGTTCAAGCTGACAATATGTCAATAAAATCAATACGCATGTCCGTGCACTCCAAGTATCTGTCCGTTATCAAACTGATAATAAGACGTAGTCTTGTGCATCACGTCTGCATGTGTCCAGATATCATCTTTCATTCCAGTTTCCCAGTAAGTGCTGAGGCAGATTGTAAAATCAATACAGCCGTGTCTCCATACCTCTCTTTCTTCAGCAGCTCCTGGCTGATATTGACCAGCTGCCCAGAGGCATCATGGGACTTCTTGGTCATGGACTCCAGCTCTGCCTCCACACGCAACTTCTCCTTGGCCAGGGCTTCGGCTTTCTTTTCCCCTGAGCGAACTTTGCCCTCCAGTGCTGAGAGAGAGAGAGGAGAGATGAGAAGCAGGTTCTTGGCTGGGAATTAAATTAACACTTTATTCAGCATTTATAAAAAATATTGTTTATATAAACACCTAATAAATTGTTGATAACACACTGTGATGTAGTACGCAGATTTATGGACATTCTTAAATGTTTGTGTGTCTGTCGACAACACTTTGCTACATATAATTATTAATTAATTGTATATTACAATTGTATTTATTAATGATTTATTTATTTATTTATTCTTCACTTTCTATGACAACTGAGGATCCTTCTCATCCCTTCTCACCCTCATCCATTCAACCCTCATCCATTCATCGTACATCCTATCATCCCTCTCTCCCTTGATCCTCATACCTCCATGCTTTCTTGTAAACCCCTAATTCATCATATGCAACAGACCATTTGAAATCTTTATCCTGTGGGTGTGGTCTTTGTTAGTGAAATGGAAGTATGTGTAAAAAACAAAATAAAGTTGAGATTGACTGCAGCAACTCCACTTGAAACCTTTTTTTTTTTTTAAATGGAAGTTTATGTCAAAAGTCTCCCTTTTGAAAAGAACATCTCTGTTCAGTTTGCGCTGTTTTTTAATATCGTAGATAAGCAATATCTTGGTTTTATTTTTTTTAGCCATCGATCTTTAGCAGAAAAGGTTTGTAACTGTTGTTTTTTTTGCTAGGGCACGGTAAATATAATTTGTTCTTTAAACATTAAGTTCAAGCAGGAACACTTCAAAGAAAACTTTATTTCCATTTGTAGTATTATATTTGTTGGTATGGCTCTGTTCTGGAGCCCCTCTGCCTTTCTGCAGGCCTACACAGAAAGCCTCTTCCTCGCGCCTTTGTGGAAAGCCTATTGCCGAGGGAGCACACCTCTCCACCCTTCCACGCATCTATGTGGAATGCCATAAGGCAGATAGAGAGAGCATACCTCTCTGCCCTTCCACATGCAAATGAGGAAAGCCTGAGGCAAGGAGAGCGAACCTCTCTGCCCTTCCATGCGCCTACATGGAAAGCCTAGGGCAGGGAGAGCAGCAGCAAAGACCCCACGGCACAGAACAGAGCAGCATTAATGACAAACAGAAATGACACTGATAAGTCAGACACAGCATGAAAAGGAAGAGCTGGGGTGGAGGCGGGTTGCAAAGCAGCTTGCAGAGGAAGCAGCAACAGTAGGCAGGCCAGAGCAGTTTAAATATGGCGCCCTGAATGAGATTTGCCCATTGGTTGCATAGAAAGAAATCATGTGATCTATCAGCTGACTCCTTCAATCAATGCGCTGATCCATCAGTTGATTGGCTGTTTGAGATCAGCTGATATAGCTGGGATGTGAGCTGAGCTTGACATCGTGTCCTGCCTGAACTAACGCGATGCTCAATTTGTGGTGCTAATGTGCAAACTGGCTAACTAGCATCTTGAATCGTCCTGTCGGTCTTCTGGTTTCCCTTTTTCAGTGACGAATACAGACTACCACCGTCTGCTGAACGTACTTGCTAGTTAGGCTGCTGGCTGTGGTCTTTGTGGTCAACCTTTAGGCCGAGACACAGGAAATGGGAGGCTACACAACAGTCAGCCTTTGTCGCCACTCGCTCTTTGAGGTTTTCTTGTTGTGTCTGGGCCTTGAAAGATAACTTCCTAATGTTCTCTCAAAACCCACATTCGTCCTTCTGCGCAATAAAGTATTCAAAAGGTTACCTGAAGCTACTGTTAGGCTTCAGCAGTCTGAGTTAGCAACATCAAATTACACTCTTCCTAGTGCGACAATCACTCTTTGTTTTAGTATTCCTCCCCTGCAGCTCTGCATCACTAACCAGGGAAACACAAAGAGGGAACTCCGTGCTAAAAGGACTAACTTCTACTCTGATGGAGGACTGTGGACTGTGTGCCCTGAAGCTTAAACAGGAAGCATATTAGGAAGGGATTCCCAGCTTGAACCATGCGATGAGGTTTACAGAGGCAGGATAAGGAAACTATCCTTCTCTTTGTGTCTCTATTGTTCTTTTCTTTAAAAAAAAAGACTCAAAATGTATTCTTCAAAGAGTGTCAATTTGATTATCTGAACCACATGAAGTGTGTTTGGGTCCTTTTGATGTGATGGAACTTTAGGTTTTCAAAAGACAGCTGGTCGACAGTTTTTTCAGCAGTGATCAAAGAATGTAACGGTGAAGATGAACACAATCCGCTGCACAGTGAACTCAGCATGACTACTGGAAAATGAAGTGAAGCCTGCAGTCACTGCACATCACACATCACGACGCACGCAGGGCACTGCACAGATGTACGGAGGGATGATAGAATGACACTAATGAAGATCATTACGTAAATACGATGCATGATTTAGAAATGTGTTATAATTTTAGCAAAATAAAGCTTAAATTGACAAACAGGGCAAACATGACCTGCGTTGTCATTGCTTTATTAGCACTGTTGTTATAGTGTATGAAAAGACGTGATCTCTCCACTCAATTATTTAATCATTTCTTTTCATGAAAAACCTTCAAGAAAAAGACATGAGAGCTCGGAAAAGGTCATCGACCGCTCCTGGACAATGACATTTACCTCCCATCTGGGATTTAAGGGCTTCAACCTGCGAAGAGAGAGTCGAGACCTCCTTTTCCCTTTTCAGCAACTTCTCCATTGTTTCTGTAGAAAAACAAAACAGCAGTTAGTGTCTTGCATGAAGAACGGATCATTCAAGAAACAACAATAAGTCCACCAATACAGGCTCTTGGGAAAATGTGACAAAAGTCTGTAAGGGGCATGCTGTAGGTTTAAAGTCACATATAAATCTCAACCTGTAAACTGTAGCCTTATATTTTACAGACAGATATGAGAGTGATCTTCAGAAATTTAATAACCAAAGTATTCCTTTAAATGGCTCACAGCATTTCTCTCCAGTCCTCACAAGCAAAAATAAACAATACGATCAGACACTCAAAAACTAATATAAAATCTACACTGAGCAATCGACGGCTTTTAATGATTCTTCAACAAAAACAATTTATCATTTAGCTTTTGTTTTTAATTTGGGAAGTAATAACATGCAATATCATGCAAGGAAAACAGAGAAACTGAAATATATGAATGGTTTGTTTTATGAATTTGAAGTTAGTATGAAAATAAATGGATGTTGGTACCTTCGATATTCTGTTTTAGCTTCATCTTCTCATCTGAAATTTCATTATCTTCTATCACCTGGAAAAGGATAAAGTGTTAAGATAGCTGATCTTAAATCAAAGCAATGACAGGACTTGACTGGATTTCTGATTTGTTACTTATCATTCCTCCTCAGCCACTCACATTTGCATCATGGGATGTGTAGCGGTCCGCCTGGATGGCCTGGAGCTGGTTCGCCGTCACCCTCAGCTTCTCCTCCAGTTTCTGGATCTCCTCTTGGCTCTCTGCCTGGGCCTTCTGCAGAGCCTGATAGTCTGTCATCTTCTTCTCCGACAGCTCCAATCTCTCTCTCAGCTGCTCTGTGCATTTGTCCTGCTCAATGCGGCGCTTCTCCATCTCCGCCAGCCTCTGCTCCGCCCTCTGTAGCTTATCGGTGGCTTCCTCCAGGGCCTGCTTGCTGCTTTTGGCCTCGACTTCGGTCCTCCACGTCTGGTTGCCCTCGGCAAGCTGATCTTTGGCCTCGTGAAGACGAGTGCAGAAGTCTTCACGTTCCTTGGTCAGGATGGCGGCTTCGATCTTATGTTTGGCCTTTAGGTTCTCCACCTCCAGCTGGTGCTCCATCTTTAGGCTCTCCAGAGTGGTTCTCAGCTCCTGGACGTCCTGCTCTTGGCCTGCTGGAGTGGGATGATCGCTACTTAATGAGGCCTTCAGTTCCTCCAGGGAGCGCTGGTGGTCAATTACTAAAGTGTCAAATTTATCCTGCAGAGGAAGGTGAGAAGAATGAGATTTTTTTGTTGTTTATTTGGAAAGCCATTAATACAAACTGATTAAAATGTGAACATTTGATAAAATTTAAAAAAAATTAAATTTATCCTGTTTTATCCTTGTTTCCTTAAAATTTTCCAGTGCTTTTGCTCTCCCTGTTTGCAATAAGGAAACATGCAGCATGGAAACTGCAAAATCTAAACAGATAAATTCAAATGTGTTGCTCTCTGCCTTTTAAAGCTTTTATCAGTTCTACTTGCCAACCCTCCCAATTTTCCCAGAAGGGCCACGTTTTTAATTGCCTTCTCCTGTTTTCCTCCAGGGGTCACAATTCTCCTGTATTTCTCCCAAATTATGGCAAATTTTCACACTTTTTTTTTCTTTTTGTTATCACAACCTGTTCCTGGCAGTGTACAGCGTGTATAAGCCAGACGGCACACTGTTTCCTCCCTCTTAATGCTTACCCCCGTCAGGCCTGTCTGAATCTTACGCAGTTGTCATTGGAGACTTCATCTCCCTGCTGACTGTATTATGGGTGCATAAGCCTGATGGGACCACTCTAGCCTGCCGTTCTGCCTCACTCAGGCATCCAGGACCCAGGGGTGTGTGGGTCAAGGAGGACAGGTGGCTGTGGGTCAACCCTGCAGCCTGGCCTGTATCTCTCCTTCAACTACTCTGCTAGAGTACCAGGGGCATGAACCGAAAAACTAAACTAAATTAAAAGTATTAAACATAAAAATGCTGTTGCAATACTTGTTATATTGTTATTTTAATTCTTTGCAGGAAACAAAGTCTCTGGACCTCAAGACCCCCTGCTTCCATGCAGAAATCCTCCCCATATAATTGAGGTCTCAAGGTTTCAGAGTGTGAGCATACATACTTTCATGACTATGTGATTCACAGAGCTCTATTAACGTGGCCCAACCGCTCTTGTGAAGTTTCTTTGAACAGTTCAAGTTAAAAAGAATGTAGCAGAATACCTTCCAGGTGTCCATCATTTCCATGTTTTCCTTGGTGGCCTGTTGAACTTTCTGCTTCATCTCACTGACCTCCTGGCTCTTATTTTCAACCAGCGCCTTCAGCGAGTCGATCTCCTGCTGGCTTGCTGCTAATGCCGCCTCATACTTCTCTTTAAGCTTGCTGCTCTGCTTGTAGTGCTCGTGGCTCGCAGACACAAGCTGCTCTGGCGGGACCGGCGTCTCCAGCTGGGTGCTGGCACCCGGGGCAGCGTTGCTGTCGTCGGCTTGCTGCGAGCCTGTGTCAGATCCTCCGAGTTTAGCCTGGAGTTTCTCGATCTCAGCTCTCCTGAGGCTGAGCTCCTCCTCCAGCTGCATGATACGACTCTGCTCTTCAACCGTGGTTTGCTGACAAGAGAGAAACAACATCCATCACTGCCACTGAAAGTTTCTCTGATGATTACCATTTGCAGAAAGATGTCAGCCTTTTCAGAGAACGACATTATTGACTCAGCAGGTGGGAGACCCTGCGACTGAATGATGTCATTCCACAGAAAAGGTGAGAGCAGAAAACAGGCTTCAGAAAAAAGTAAAACAGAGAGAAACCCCTGAAGGTCTTTGCAAGGGTTGGAGACGGTGAAGTGCATTCCAGTGAATATACAGTACAAATAAATGACATTAAGCACGAGGACAGTGACAAACTGTGTAACAATTTGGCTCCCTGCTGAACTCCTTAGATACAAGATGATACAAAGACTGACTTTTGTTTCCTAGTAACCATATTTTAGTATTTATGCAGATCTTACTCAGAGTATGTATTAAAATATTCATGGCAAATTCTGATGTTTTTTTCTGATTCTGACAACACTTAACGCTCCCTAAACCCACAAATTTCCATTTTTATCTTTCTGTTTTTGTGCGTATGAAACAACACAATAAAAGCTGTTAATTGGTGACCTTTAGAGGAGGTGGGAGACGGTCCAGGAAACAGATTGTTTTGGACCGGACTGGCTCTGATGTGACAGAGTCGCTGTCCTGCAGAGAGCACTGGAGCCGACAGCTGTATAATACACAGGCTGACTAAGAGGATTTTCCACTCCTGCAACACGAATGTAACAGAAGCTACACCCACAGGAACTCAAGATTATCTCTGATCTTACTTTTGTGACAGTTCGTTCACCGTGTTCCATCAAAGTTACAGCAGGTTACCTTAAGAAAAATAACTTTTCTGAAACTGTTATTTTGTCCTAACAAAAGCACAAGAGAGAGATAATCTGTGGAAAAAATCATGTTCCTCTAGCTCCTCCTGGTGGTGTTTGCAAGAATCCACCACTCCTGAAAGAAAGCGACCAAGCAGAGCCAGGAGGTCGCACTATAGGGCCACTATCTAGTCCCTTTTACACAGAACCAAACGGCAGCGACATCATGCTGCTCCTTTGTATGATTTTAGAGAGCATGCAGACATCATGGAATCAACAGGCGCGTGCCCGGTGTGACATGTGGCACACCGGCATTGGCCTCTAGTGTGACATATAACATTCGCGTCGGCAGCGCTTTATAAACAATAACGACGGCATTAACATGGCAATAGCAATCATTTACAGTCTGGTCCTCTGCTCGGAGGTTAAGGAGCTCTCGGACCTCATTGTGTTGTCAGATTGCAGACATTTTCGGCCAATGTTCTTCTCTGAGTTAGCTTCCAACCGCTAACAGCTACTTTTTAAATCTCTCCCACGGTGGGCCACATGCTTAACACATCGTCAAAACATCACACCTGTGCCTCCTACAATCCTGTCCAGCCGGCTATTCAGTTTATACAGAGGTGGTTTTGACGCTCAAAACCAGAAACAACTCAGCCCTGAGCAGAGTGACCATCCTCTACTGACCAATCAGATTGCAGTGTTCACAGCTCCACCTTTTAGTACCAGATCTGTGTGCTAGGTACCCCAACAGAGGGGGGACCAAAAATGGGGACGGTATGTAACGGTTCCATTGGTACCATCCACAACTTTTCACAGTGGAAATGGAAAAAATGTGCACCCAACTGAACTGAACTGTACCGTTCAGTGGAAACAGGGCTTTACATCTTGCTGTTTGCGTTATTGTCATCAGATGTCCGACGTGGGTTTGAAAGGTCTAGGACGGAGTGCCTTAAAACAAACTGTCAGTGTTGTGAAAGACGTATCCGTTCAAAAAGTTTGTAACATTAAGTCTCCGATAAATAACTGTCTTGCAAATCTTGTAAATTCCCAATTTCAAATCTTGCAGGTGCGTTCCAGTGTCCCTTCTTGAGCAGGCCAGAACTATATTTGCTTATTATTTTAGATAAATACCATCAAAGTACTGGCACCATGAAGGGTTTGCATTTCACAAAAGTCCAAACAAACCATTATACATGTTTTATGATACAGCTGTCTTCATATTAAAGTTGACAGTGTGTCATTCATTGTATCATTTCCATCCAAAGATATTAAACTAAGGAGCCAAGGGGTCAATGTGTTACTGTCCCAGTATTTGTTCAGCTCACTGTATATGCAAAGACGTGGAAGATGAGACGAGAGCACAGCCATTCTCTGATCATCTAGAAGCAGCCAAGCAAATATAATAAAGCCATCAGCAAACGTCCACACAGCTGCACTGCACACACACACAACTGCAAACATTCTCCACACACTTATATCCAATTAAAATTAAAAAAGGAGATTAAAAGAGAGGACCTGCTGCACAGTGCAAAGATGTTAATTTCAACCATCTGGGAAAACAATCTACGAGACCTCGTTGTTACTAGTTGATTCATATCAAAGCCTGAATAACATTCAGATTATGGCACAACAACACACAGGAATAAAAGAGTAAAAAAAGAGTCTATGCAAGGTTAATGTCCTTGACAGGATCTGAAGTCGATGTCAGCATCTGAAGTCGATTTGAAGTCAAGAATTGAGATAGCTCAGCAGCGGATCAAAGCCAAAACAAGATCAAATCTTTTTTTTCACCTTGGTTCTCTTACCCAACCTCAAGGATACTGCATCATGAGAGCATCTTCCCTGTTGGCAGAAGCAGACCTTACTGCATATAGGAATCCAGTGTTTCAAAGTGTTTTGTTATCTTTTGATGCCTGAAAATTGAAAGCACAAGCTCGTACGGTTTGATTTGTGATACCATTTTCCATTATTGAAGAGGCTTTCTCCCTGAAGTGCAGCACTGCGTGTCCAAGTGGTGTAGAGGACATCCTCTGCCACACTCAACTACTGATGGTAAATGCGCATGACCACCATGATTCAGCTTGAAACATTCATCTAAGAATCAGCGTTCAATCCCATTAACAATTTAGCAATTTCTCATGTGTTATTAATTACATAACTGCTCCAAACATTAGCGCAGAGCTCGGGGGGGGGGGGGATTCACCCACAATGTTCTCCACAGTTGAAATGAAAGGCTGTTATAAATGTTACGTCCTGGCATCTCAAAATGCAGCTGGCAACTGATCTGAAGGCCAACCTTGAATAAAAAAGATAAATCATAATTTAAAAGAACATAAGCAGCAGCAACTGCAACAGAAGACGTGTAAAGCCGAAGCAGCTGACGGATGTCTCGGGGGAAGCTCTGGGTCAACAGTGAAGAATCGTATTTATGATATGATAGTGAGGGAATGAAGGAGAGGACAGATGAAGTCAGTCTGCTTATATGTTTATGTGATTATGTCTTTCTACTCTTACACAAGGCAAAAAATAATCACCCATCAGTGACATGTTGAATATCTAAGGCTATTACTGACATTTTTGGACTTTTTTTTTTTTTTTTTTAGCAAAAGAGCAGTTCATAGAGCACCAAATACTTTACATATCAACATATTTAAGATATAATTTTTTAAAAGATAAAACTGGAAATATATTCTATTTTTTTTATTTAAATAAATGTAATGACAAAAAGGCCCAGGACCAACAATGAATTGATCCAGGTCTGTGTAACACACCTAAGGCCAGTTGCCTGAAGAAAATGTTAGCATTGTATGTTTCCGCAAACCACGAATATGTTACTTATGCATATTTTATACATCATATCAACCTTTCTACAGTGATGTAATACACAATATGTGCAAAGGCTCAAACTCAAAACATCAATACTTGACTGAGATTAGTACAATACAACTGGTTAATGAGAACATACACCACAACGGTGACACTGAACAAATTTGATCTGAATATTCCTGACTACTGCTGTATGTGTGTAACACACATCAAGGGAATTTGTATCACTGCCTATGGGAGTGTGTTGAGATGCAAAGATTTTGGAGGTCGGTGCTACAATTTGTCTCGGATGACCTCATCTGCATTATCTTTAAGTCCTAAGCTCTGCTTATTAGGCATGTTTCCAGACCCTGCTTTTCCAGCAGCTTTTTAGCCACCAAACATTGGTGTTTTTATCCAAGTGGTCCCTGCTTTTCCAGTGACTTTCTAGCCACCAAACGTGGGTGTTTTCAACCAAACAGTCCCTGCATTTCCAGCGGATCTTTAGCCACCAAATGAGGGGATTTCTAACCAACTGGTACCTACTTTTCCAGCAGCTTTTTAGCAACCAAACATCAGTGTTTTTAAGCAACCCATCTCTGCTTTTTCAGCGACTTTCTAGCCACCAAACGTGGGTGTTTTTCAGTGACCCACTGCTGTTTTTCCATCGAGGGACCACACAGAAAGTGGTTGTTATTTACAGTGATGTTGCAGCGTTTTCTGCAAGAAAGTGCCACAAAAGTGTTTATGTTTTACTTAGATGCTGCTGCGTTTCCTTCCATGATATTGGCATGAAAAGCAGTTGTTTTTTACAGTGACACTGCGTTTTCTGATAAAGTAATACCACAAAAAGGGGTTATGTTTTTCCCAAGACATCGCTGTGTTTCCAGCTGGGATAGATGCATGAAAAGTGGTTGTTTTCTACTGAAATGTCACTGTGTTTCCTGCTGGGATTGTGCCACCAATGCAATGGGATTAGTACAATCTTTTCCTAACAATAAGCAAGTGGTTTTTGTGCCTAAACCTAACCACAAGAAACAAAGTCTAAATGTATCTGCTACAAAATAATGCAAAAATTTAACATAATTGTGGTTTGCAGAAACGTACAATGTGAATTTTTTTTCTGGCAACGGGGTTGCCAAAGCTTTAAATTAAAAATGTATTTTTATTTACATATTAAATATACCAGAATTGGCTAGGGGGGTAGTTTTCATCTTAAATCCCTGGCCAGGTGTGACTGTAACTGTAGTGATCTTTGAAAAAACTGCAAACTGACATTGCAGGTCTGACTGACCAATATGTGTGTATTATTTTAAATTACGATTCATATATCTCTAGTTTGATCTGATGTGAACTTGGACACCAAAGACAAGTGGAGTATGACTTGTTCATGAGTCATGCCACTATCGGCAATGAAGCAAACAGGAGCAGAACCATGCAGGCTACAGGCAGAGGGCTCGTGCTCTTTACCCTCCTCTTCTCTAAGTCTTTCTGAAGCAACTCTGCTCTCGACTTTTCGAGGAGCAGGCTCTGTTCGAGCTGACGAATATGGGCACGCTCCAGTTTCCTCTGAGTCTACAGAAAGAGACAAAGAGAAAGACAGGGAGGAACAAAGGACAGATTGAAAAGAAGAGGAAGAAGAAAGACTCAAAGGGAAAGAGACCCATACAGATCCGAGAGGGAATGATTGAGATCAGAACAGCAGTCAACTTATGATCAGACGGCAGACTCTGGTATGAGCTGATCATATGATGAGGAGACTGAAGGGGAGGGGGCTGGACATGTAGGTCAGTTAAACTCCAGACTCTGAGGTGAAGTTCATTTTGCAGTTAAGATGCGTCAGGGAGCTAAAAAAAACATGTCTGTCTGTCTGTACTGTTTGGAGCATTGGGAACCCTACATTAATGAAATACAGCGTGCACTCATATACAAGATACTGTGGTAAAATTAACCAACTTGTTTAATGATGTGTTGAACACTCTCATACTTTACATTCTAACATTTAATCTCAGTAAAAACACTGTTAGTGAAGTCAAATGATCTGAGTATGATCTTGTTTGTCTGTTTTATGTTCATTATGTCTGTTTTCATGTGAAGAACTCAGTGCTTACACCGCCTTTATTGTAAAGCACTATGTGCTGCAGTATGAAAGGTGCTACATACATAAAGTTTATCATCATAATTATTATTACATTGTTTTGGTGTGAGTTGCAAAGTGTTAGAGATATCGACCATAGAGATGTCTGCTTTCCCTCAAATAGAATGGAACTAGATACTCAAGAGAAAACTCAAGAGCTGTAACGTTAGTTAGCTCAGTGGTGCTAGTTGAGCTAGCCGTAGATGCACGCTTCCTTCTGCGCAGGGATACGGTTAGCAGTGTGGTTCAGTTAAAGGGAAATAGTTCCTACATGAAACTGCTCACAACAAGGTCTGTGGATTACCTTGAGTAACAGGGTCATGATTTCTGGAAAGAGACACTGATGTTGGGTCTTTCAAATGCTTTTTTTGGCACTTTGAGCGCCACAAGCCAAGTGCCATCTAATTCCATTATATTGGAGAGAAGGCAGACATCTCTATGGCCGATATCTCCAACACTCGGCAACTCACATTTCAACAATCTAGAGTGATAAACAGCACTACAGGTGAGAGGCGAAATATGTATTTTTGATTTGGGGGTGAACTGTCCCTTTAATACTGACTACGACAAACAAGGTAGGGAAGTCAGAGATTTGAGAGACGGACTAATGCACTAATGGTTTTTAGTCTTTTTATGGGATTTGTTTCCAACAGCAAGGATTTTTTTTTTTTTATAAACAACTGTGTTTTCTGCACTTCCTTGTGTAAAGATGGCCTCCAGTCAGTGCTGGAACATTATGCTTAGTTATAAAGAAGGCAACAGCTGCTGCTGTATTACAGTTTAGAAAAATCTATGTTCTCAAGTAGCAGTCTTGAGCCTCTTTCGAATACTTCAGTCACTATGTTACAGACTGAGCAATCAGACTGTGTTTGTTGGTGTCTCCATTTGGAGGGACAGCCAAGAGCATATTTAAAAATGACCAAATCACAATTACCTTACATTCAGGTGCTTTTTTAAGGGACTGACAGTGTTCCTTATCTAACGAATTTCAGACACTGCTGTATCGCTCAAAAATAAGGTGCAAGTGTGCATGGGTTTTAAATCCTTGCATTTTGCTTGACAGTTGCCTTCAGAAATTTGCTGCAACTGAACACCGCATATAAAACATGTGTATTGCTGGGGTAAGCAGGTCCAAGTCCAGACCATTCTCTCACTAAACCTATTTAAAATGTTTGTATGTTGTCTACAGAAAATGTTTAAAGTGCAAACGAGACATTATGCTCTTCTCTGCGTGTACAAACCCCTTATGAATCTTCCTTTTACCTTCACAGGGTGCATGATATTGAAGGATACACTGGATTTTAGCATGTGGAAGCACATAATTTCAATTACTGATACTGTTCATAGGTATTAATAACACTGATAAATACCTCCAGGTCTCCTTTGGTGATGGATTCCTCCTCCACTCTGAACTGGAGGTCCTCCACTTTCCTGTGAAAAGTTGTGTGAGACAGAAAATTAAATAAAATCAGTGGATCATGGACACTTGAACACTTGTACATTAGCACAAGATGATAATGTCTTACCCTCCTCTGTGTGCCAATATGATTATATGAATATATTTCTTAACCTTACACTGTCTTGTAATTTGTCTGTCTTTGTAGAAGTCACAACTTTTGTCCCAACAGTCATGAGAGACAATCTAACTTTCAGGAAAAGTTCAACATCTTGGGAAACAGGCTTAACTGCTGGAGCGGGGGCGTGTTAGCTTGCGATACAGACTGGGACTGTTTTCAGCTCTGTCCAAAGTGAAAAACAAACCTCATTAACAACTCTAAAACTGTCTTGTTTATACAGTGTGTCTCATTTGTTTAATCTGTACACAATACTGAAATGTAAAAACCACAATTTATGATTTTAGGGAGAGATATGAGCTGAAACTATTTCTCGATAGCTTATCTATCCGCCCAGTGCTTCTCTGCAGCGTCTCTGGCTATAGCACGGGTTGCCTAATTCAGTTTTGGTCTCAGAAACGGCACAATGGTACCAAAACTGGCAACCTCATTGTGACTAATTGCCATTGCTTTATTCTGTTTATGCATGTTAATAAGTCAGCTTTTTCTTTACTTTGGACAGAGCCAGGCTAGCTCTTTTCCCCTGCGTCCAGTCTTTATACTAAGCTAACCTAACTCCAACTCTGTATAGTACAAGTTTATTTAAGACACAGTCTAGAGACATTTCAATGAAATGAAGCATGTCTGAAGAGACCATGATCAATACTCATATGATGAAGTGACTCAATGTGACTCAGAACAAAACAGAAGAACACTTCACACACCCATTTCCTGAGACAGGTCCGTAGGAGAGGGATGACTAGATCAAAAGTTGCAAATAAACTCCTGCACACTGTCTCACTTGCAAAAAATACATTTATATTGGACGTCTCGTAGCTGGACTCTCAAATGGCAATGGTTTGTAATAATCAGAGGCCATCTATAAGTAGGGAGAAGCTGTAAGACTGCAACCAATCACATTCCCCGTTTTGGTCAGATGTTTCGATTCTAAGATTTTGCTGCAGAGTGACTGCTCCTCACTTCACTGCTCTCTGGTACAGGCAGCTGCCGACCCAGACCCAGGGTGAGTCTGAGTGAGATGGAGGCAGGCTCCAAGATAACATTATCTTCTGCTTAGAGGAGATGAATTTACAGCTCACAGCAACTCAATACAACACAGTCTCTGGCTTTTCTTTGATACCTAGGGTAACACATTTCCAACCTGTCGTTAGCGTAGTTAGCATGTGTTAGCTCGGAGGGCTTACTTGGCTCGTTTGCTCTATTACTTGAATGTCGCTGTCGCCCTGAACGCCCTGCTCAACTCTGTTCAAACTTTCAAACTCCATATGGAACTGAAGTCAATCTGAGTTGGGTACAGCCTTAGAGCTAAATGTAGCGTAATATGCAATATTACATTAAATAGGTAGATTCCTACAAAATAAATGCTGAAAACCCCAAAAGCTAAACTGCATTCTCAAACAGATACATTCACATGGCAATTAAAAAATCAGCATCAATAAATAAATAAATAGAAACCTTCATAATAAATACACCAGGGACAATTCTGATGGGCAAACACTATATCAATGTAAACATGCTGTATGTTAAGTAACAATAATGAAATTTATGTCTATCAAGACTGCATAAATCAAATTATGTAACTCTCTATAACATCACTTTTCTTGTGATACTTTCAGTCGCCTTTCCCAAGTATTTAAACCTTTGAACCCTGAGCTTATTATTGCACTTTAAATTAAATATTTAGAATTATGGTACAGAATTATTATAATTTTAAAGCACTTTATTTAGGTTATTTCCTTGTTTGTTTGTTTTACTGATTTTATTGTTTTTAATATTCTCTTTTTACTAATTTCTTACAAATTTTTTGGGGTCATTTCTTCTTGTGTTGCCTTCTCCCCATGTTTTTGAAAGAAATCAAGCCAATTTGCCGTCAGGTTTCGAAGGGTTAATAGGTGACGTTTGTCAATGAACCCATCATAGCATGCAAAATAAATAAATAAAAATAATAATAATGAATGTACTTAGAACGCTCAAAAATGCTAACTTCAATAGACATCAAGGCCTCAAAAAATGATAAATAAATGATTTAAGCTGCATATATAATAATGGGGATTGTCATATAGTAAAGAGATGTTTGGTATTTATATCTTCCTGTTGCACGTGTGGAATGTGATTGGTTGCAGACTTAGAGCCAATCCCTACTTAATTAGATGGTTTCTCAATGTTACAAACATTTTTCCTGATGAACGTCCAGCACCAAAATGTCACAAATGAACATATTTTTTTGCGAGTTATAACACAGAACAAGTAGGATTTTAGATTTAAGTCGTAGGGAGTGAAAGTAGCATGACTCTGTTAATACCTTTTCTCCTCTTCGAGCTGATTGGCCAGCTCCAGTTTATCTTTCTGTGCGCCGGCCAACATGGCTTTGACTTGCTGGAGGGTGCTCTCATTCTCTGTTACATACTGTGGATCGTCAGGAGAAAGGCGTTTGTGAGACAGACAACAGATTGTTGTTGCATAAGTCACAGGGCAGATTGGTTTATGCTGAAACACCAAAAGACATGTTTAGACTTTTAGACTTAAGGCACCGTGTCTGTCTCGTACCTGCACGTGCTGCGCCTTGAGCACGCTCAGCTCCTTCTCCACCTCACAGATGTGGCTGGTGGCCTTGGCCATCTCTGCTCGCTCCAAGTCCCTCTCAGCCAGCAGCTGCTCGATGTGCTGCTGCTTCTCCTTCAGGGCTTCCTGGAGCGCAGTGGTGCCTGAAATCTTGCGGGCGTAGCGCGAAGATGTCTCCGTCAGCTGAAAATGAGAAAGGACATAAAACATAAGGAAAGTTTAGGCAAAGGAAATAATGTGGGGGAACAAAGAGGAAGTGGGTAGAGAGGTTGGAAAAAAGAGCGACAGGGGAAATCAAAGTGATAGGAGAGACTCTGATGAGGTAGGAATGAGGACAGATTAGACTTTATCATTTAGAAAGATTGGACACATTTTAATCAGCTTCACACATTCCTCTCAGATCATATCTGGTTAAGGTTGAAATGCTTTTCTCTGACATCAACCTTTAGCTCACTGAGATCATATTATAATTATTTAATGATCACGGGAAAACAGTCTGTGATCTCCACGTAAAAGGCTTTGCTTTCTTGTGCTCTCCTGGCACTATTTCATGATTATGAGAAAACATACAGCTTCATGATCAAAAACATCATGTAATAGCTGTTTAGTGAACCTGACATGACGTCTGCTTTCATGTATCACAGATCAATCATTTCATGCTCACCAAAAGCTTGTTATCCTGCTGAAAACAAGATGTGTTACAAAGAAATTCATAAATATCCTGAGATACAAGAAAATACAAATACACCCAGCCTTCTGTATGAGCAGCTCTGCCTCCCAGACAAAAGGAAGACCTCCAGTTAACCCTGAAGAGAACTTTATAAGAATATTTTCGATCATATTGGCCACATGAGTGAGTTTAAAAACCACTGGTCTGATTTTTTCCCCCTTTTCATCCTCTCAGGGAATATTTGGGTGCAATGATTATAAAGAAATATCGTTTTGGCCATTGTCTTCATAATGACAGAATCGCGGGTCGTTTAGTGCGGGATATTTCTCAACCTCAACGAGTTTCTCATCATCCTTATTTCATCACACATGAATCGCAGCAACAGAGCTCCCTTTTTATGCATCATGGTGAGGAGAGGAGTCGAGCTGCCATAGGAGCAGAGAAGAAGAGCTGCTACGGGAGCTGGTGTGTACAAGCAGACAGCGCGTGGGGGAAAAATGGATTTAATTCCAGGGGTGGCTAGGCTCGAAATAGGACACTGGGGTAAAGTGCCACGGGGCAGCGCATCCAGGAGCACCGACACGCGTCTGGCTGCTGCCGGTGTGTGGTGGTTCACTGAAAGTAATACTGGCGTATTTTCTTAGGTGTGGCATTCGCCGCTGGTGTGTTTTAGCCTTCAGAAAACTTTTTTTTAAGGTATAAAGTAGGCCCAAATCTCAGCATCTAATTCATTTCTGTTAAGAAAACTAAATTGAAGTGTTATTTTTAAAGCTTCAACCATCATTTAAGATATAAACTTTAAATAAAAATCTCTCAGGATGAGGGCACAGTGAAGACCTGAACATAAGCTCTATTCACAGTCTTCACTCTCTACTAAACAGCCTCGTCCTGAGTTAGAAAGTACGCAGTTATAACAACCAAAGATCCAAATAGAACAATGGCCAAGAGTCAAGAAGGAGCCTATTAAGCATGATTATTTAAAAAAAAAAAAAAAATACGTGATACAGACGGACATTAAAAGTTGTAAAAAATATCAGGAAAACTCATCCAGTCATTCAGTCTGTCTCTTTATTATACTCTGCTTCTTTTTGATGCTTCTTTATTATATTGCTTTGTATTTTTTTTCTACTGATGCTTCCTGTTTGCATCATCCCTTTGCTGCTGTAATGTTGCAAATTTCTCTGCTGTGGGACGAATAAAGGATTATCTTATCTTATCTTGTTGCATACACTAATTGGATTAATCGTACAATTCATCAGTTGTTCTGTTGGCGTTGAATATAAAATACAATATCCATAAAATATGGCCCTTAGTCAGAGGTCGTCACTTTACTCAGTTATAGAAAGGAGATCCCTTTCAGGAAAAAGTTGGGAACACCTCATCTAAAGCACTAGAGGTGCTTACATCCTGAAAGATGCAACATTTCGTTTGACCACTAGAGGGTGCTCTATGAAAGGATTCTATTAAGGATTCTTGTTTTACAGTAGAACAATACTGAGAAATGAGTTTTCTTCAACAAGGACATCCTGGTTAAAAGCCGAAGACATTCTTAGTGATAATGTAACTGTAGGAGCCATTTTATTTCTATTGATATTTGGGGACTGAATCCCATATCCTGAAGTTAATGTTTTCCTTCTATTTTTGTAAGTGCTCTTATCTTAAGCCTTGACTCACCTACGGATTTGGGAAAATTAGGATGATGTTGCAGCTGTGTCATCAGTTAGTCAGCACAGGAGGACGCCAGCACACCACTTTGTTTTTTTACGCTTGTTTTTTTTTTAATCATCAGACTGGACTGTGGAAATAAATAATGTAACACATCACTCTAATCTGTCTAATTAACGTGGAAAATGTGTTTGAATCTCTGCTGGGCGTCTATATGTAGAAACTGGAAGCCACCACAGTGTATGTACATTAAAAAAATCATTATCATGTCACAAATAACCTTATTGTTTTTTTGTCTGCATCATTTGACTTTGATGAAACAGCTGAGATGCTCAGAGGCTCAATCGGCCTCAACATAATGTCAAATACATGGTTACTGGATGTCACAAAGGTCATGAATTCTTGCTTTTGTGAACGCAGCAACGATTGCCTGAAGTCATTTATACTTTGGATGTTATTAATATTACAGAGCCTACTTTCCTACCATTTAACGACACAGACTGTGGTACACCAAAGATCTTTAGGAATGACAGTGAGTCAGAGGATTCTGTGCAGCGTGATCCGCTTGATCATTCAGACTGGCTGCTCTCAGCGCTGCCGGACACTGCTGCCAACAATTAAGGAAAGTAAAGGGGAGACTTCTCCATCTGAGATCTGGCCTCCAACCAGGAGCTAAAAATCAATGTGAGATATCCTGATGTCCCATTCCTTTTAGTTTGTAGCCAGCCTCCTGAGGTTATTCGTCTTAAAGACACGGTGTGTTGGAACAAGATACTCGAGCTCTCTGTCAGCTGCTGCAACAAAATGCAAAGTCAGTGAATCAGAGCTTCACGCTGCACAGCAGCAACATGCAAATTATTAACTGCTCAGCAGATAAGCGGGCAACTCAACACAATGAGCCAATTCATCACCCCGCTGTTTGAATTTGGAGACTAATATGAATATGAATATTTCACAACGAGAGAAGCCATGAGAAACAGGTAATTATCAATATCAAAAAAAACATTGGTGCATCCCTAATTTAATGGTATTGCACCTTGTAACTCTGGTTTTAAAAAGCACTATAGACCAAAATGTTACTTACCAACTTATTTACTTTCAAGAAATAATTTTGGGGAGAATGCCTATTCACTTTCTTGCCAAGAGTTAGATGAGAAGACTGATGCTACCCTCATGTCTTGTCCAACTCTCTGCAAGAAAGCGATTGCTTCCCAAAGACTTCCTTTAAAGAGCACATCACTGCATGAGCCGCCGCTCTGCTCTCAGTGTGTATCTGAGGCACGCTGCCGTCATCTTACCAGTCCAGTTCGGCTCGGTCGTCCGCCCACGGAGGAGGCCACCGAGCTGACTGAACTGATGGAGGAGCTGCTGGGGCTGTGGGCCAGAGAGGAAACCCCCATGGCCATCCGCTTGCTCTTCTTAGCCTTGGCAGGGCTGGTGGAGGGGAAGCCGATGCGGATCACCTTGTGGATCGGAGCAAACAGGCCGAACTTGGGAAGACACTGAAAGTATCTGAGGAAGAGAGGGAAAAAGATGTTTAGAGTTATGTTTAGCACAGAGCTGCTTTACAATTATGTTACCAATACAGTAGTCTGAATGATTTTTTGATGATGAATGATTTAGACTTTTGTTATTCTCGTGTGCTTTTTATACAAACTTGAACCAATAAACTTTGAATCCCAAACTTATTGGGAGAGAAGGTCACAAACAAAACCAAATGTTGGAACAAATCTTTCGTAATAACAAATAAATGTGTAGCGCGTCTTATCTGGACTTTCTTCTTTGAAGTTCGAGTAATACTTCAAAATGTCTGCACCCAAATTTCACCCATTTTAAACAGTTTTCCATTGTTGGAGGGAGAAAAATGTGCTGTGCTGTGAAAAATGTAATATGCTTATCATAAATATGATAAATGTAATAAATATGAAGCATAAAAACACGCCTGACCAACGAGTGCAGACCAGCTCTGGGCTAGTGGGTCAGTCAGTGTAATTTAATGGACAAACAGATGAAGGAACAAAGAACAAACAACTGAACAGATGGAGCCACAGTCTTCCTCTCAATTTCCCTTTAGGGGAAAAGCAAAGGAATTTGGGGAGCTTGAAGCATATATAATGTGTGTGTGTGTGTGTGTGTGTGTGTGTGTGTGTGTGTGTATGTGTGTGTGTATACCTTGTACCAGCCACGGCACCATCATTCTTCCCCAAGGGCTCATCCAGCTCGACCCCACACCATTCACCCTTGGCAAAGTCTGTCTCTCCCATGTAGCGTATGACTCCCATTTTAGAGCCTCCCACCTGCGACAGAGAGGAAAAAAAAACAACATTCAGAAAAATGTTAAATGCATTTCAGGAAGTGGCTGTGAAAGAATAACCACAGCTGGTTTTATTGATTATTAGTCCTTGTAAATCTTAATATACCATCATCAAACGAGGTAGGGTTTATTTGGGATACAAACATGGTCAAACACATAGCTTGACATTCTGATAAATACGCCTATGTGTTTTCTGGAGAAGAGTTACAGTAGATGAGAAGATCAATACCACTCTGATAACTGTGCAGATATGAGGAATGAAGCTACAGCCAGCAGCTGTTTAGCTTAGCTTAGCACAAAGACTGGAAACAGCTGGCCTGGCTCTGTCACACAATTTGATTTTGCTAAGTGGGACATTCCCCTGGATCAACATCCCACTTACACTGAACAAAAACCTTGCAAGCTACTGCAAGGTTAGCAAGTTAGCTTGCTAACTAAGTTGACTATGCTAACGAGTACACTTGCTTATAGACTAGAATATTAGCAAGTTAGCTTGCTAAGTAGGGAGGCCATGCTAACCAGTGAGCTCTCCAATAGGCTAAAATTTTGTGTCATGCATAACCTACCTACTTAGTAAGCTAACTCGCTAAAATTTCAGCCTACTGGCAAGCTTACTTGTTAGCATAGTTAACTTAGTTATCAAGCTAACTCACTAACATTTCAGCTGAGTTAGTATGATTAAACAGAATCCTCAGAAACACTGAACAAAGACCATGTAAGCTACTGCAAGGTTAGTGAGTTAGCTTGCTAACTACTATGCTAAAGAGTACACTTGCTGATAGACTAGCATATTAGCGAGTTAGCTTGCTAAGTAGGTAGGTTTTGCTAACAAGTAAGCCTGTCACTAGGCTAAAATGTTGGGTCATACATAACCTACCTACTTAGTAAGCTAACTTGCTAACATTTTAGCCTATTGGCAAGCTTCCTTGTTAGCACAGCGTACCTAATCAACAAACTAACTCGCTAACATTTTAGCCTATTGACAAGCGTACTTGTTAGCATAGTCTACCTACTTAGCAAGCTAACTTTTTAACATTTTAGCCTATTGACAAGCTTACTTATAAGCACAGTCTACCTACTTAGAAAGCTAACTCGCTAACCCTGCAGTAGAATACAAGGTTGATGCAGGTCCTTGACCACTTATTAACTTTTCCCAAGCCTCCAGTGGCCAAATCATGGAATTACAGCTTCTGAGTCTGTGGTGTGATGCCATTGGGCCCAAAAAAAAAAAAAAAAATAGACGTACATTGTGAAGACGTTGAGAAGAGTCAAATGATTGAATATTTTTCATTCAAGTTAGTGAAGGGCTAAACCGGAAGTTAGTCACTTGGCAGGAGAAAGTCTCTCATTAGCTTGCTCTTTGGGTAATTCTAAGGTCTGGGTAATTTTATACCCAGGAGGTCAAACTTCTTTGGCATCATGCACCACTGAGCAACTTTAACAGGACTGAACAGGGCCCGACCTCCAACGCTATATCCAGCTCTCTGTATACATCCACGACTTCTATTAGTATCATACACACTCAGAGGTTCACTATACAGAAGCAAAAATTGGGATTTCAAACACTTCTGTTGCCCTACAAACACAGAGAGCCATGACTACAGTTGAAAACTCTTTAGATTTTAAGAAATGTGATTTCCACTCATAAGGGAAAATCATCTACTCTCTGACATATTTAGGGTGCCACGTCTGACAGCTCTGTGTATCCCAGTCGGGAACACCGGTTTCCTGTTCGGAAGACAGTCTAAAATCTGCACACACTCTTACTGAGGTCGGCCAACATGCCAAGTACAGCTGCTCATGTGACTCACACATGGTGACCACATGTATGAGACGCAAAAACTCTCATCTCACCCTTTACAACTTCCTAAAACGTCTGAGAGAAACACTCAGCATAACAGAAATACGATACCAAACCAAGGACAACACACTATCAATAAATCATCAACCAACCTATCACCTCATTGAGTTTTCTCTAACTACATTACTGTAATCCCATTCCTGGGCTGTTGCCAAATTAACATGTACAGAATGTACAGAATGTGGGAAAGTGAAAGGAGCATGGCAGATGTTTCAGTGCTACATCTGCTATTTGTTTTTACAATAAACATCTAATAATTTTAAACATTCATTTAAGAACCATAAACTTAAAAAAGTCCCATGTGTAAAAACATATTTGCTACTGGATTAAGTAGCTAAAGGAAGTGAAGACAAGGACAAACAAAAAAAGGGTGCAGTGAGTCACACTTCATCTTTCTATTGTCAAATTATTATTCCACTTCTCTGACTCTGTCCTTCTCCTGAATCACAGAGGCCAAAGAAGAGAACGTGGCACGAAACACTGTGGTGTCACAAGACATTAAACTGAGGTGGTCTGATGTCAGCATGACTGTGTGATGTCTCGGTGACTCAGTGTCAAAGTGCCAGCAGTGCTAAGGCAGCCACTCAGCAGGAGGCTCCGTCTTGGCTCCTGTTACTGCCAATCTCATGTTAGAGCTGGACAAGACGAGAGCTAAATCCGTCTGGAGAGCTGGAATCAGAGAATTCTGACTAATGCAAAAGTGCGCCTGTGCCTTATGACTTCTGTGTGTGTGGACTGGGGGGTGTCTGGTGTGTGTGCTCATACGTGTAAGGCTACATTATGGAAGCGATGGACCATTTTCTAATTAGGGAATTATAATCAACCCTTCGCTAAGTCCTGCCCCCAGATGCAGACTGGCCAATCATAACGTAGCATCAGGCCGGCTCAGAGCAGGGTCCACCAACAACACAGCTGTGCTCCATTGACTCTAATGCAATCATTTCAGATTTCCTTCATTTTCAGGCTGGTTTTGTGGATTTGGAGCTAAATGTACCTGGGGCACGTCGTGTATTAATGATACTCGTTACCTGGAGAGGTTGGAAAAAGATATATGTTTCTTCCCTGTTCCAAAATCAAAATCATACCCTGAAAAGTTTAGGGTTAGCTAGCTAGCTTCTGAAGATATAGCCTACTGAATGTATACACATGCTGCTTTTGCTTTTTAATGATTATAACAGGTAAAAAAATCTATATCCTTCAAACACACACTGTAGACCCCTCTGTCTGCTTCTCTCTGGAATCACTGTTTCATTTTTCCAAAAATATGATAATATTTCTTCAGGGAGTGCAGTTAGTTACAGTGTGGGCTCCATGTTTACACCTCCAGCTTGTCGGACCATCACAAAGGGGCGGGGCTTAGTGAAAGGTCAATTAGATTATTCATAAAGATGCACTTCTTGTTATTGTGACGTTTTGGATGTATTGTGTCGTTAATGATCAAACCTTTGCACCTGGAAGACATTTGGTCATTGCCTTGTGGTCACTTGTATCAGGATTATAGATATTTTGCTGAATAATTGTCAGCCAAATTCAATTAAAAACTATATTTATATCTAAAGTGCTGTGTGCCATATCTGCTGTTATTGGAAAAACGAGAACTTCCTTATAAAGTGCTCAAAAGGCATGAAAATGTACTATTTTCTTGGTCAAGCCTTCCCCTTAGCACTACGAGACACAAGAATCAAAGGCCTGGCTGTGATGTCATCATGTTGAAAAATGTGAGACGTGTTTTGAATGAAGTTATTGTAACGACATCGTATCAGAGAGTAAAATCTTGGGTGGTTGTTAAGCATTTACACGGCTCATGCTGCATGAAATCAGATTGGAAATTAGGACATGATAACATTTTAATTTCTCTTTTATCCTGTTTAATAAAACCATTTAGACTCCATGCACACCCAACTGATGCTATTACAACTGTGTTATGTCTGTGTTAAGGAACAGTTTCATCAACTAAAGCCATGTGAGTGGCCTTTAATACTATCCAAATAAACACCTCACTGAAAGAGAACTGCCTTTCAACACCTACCAAACTCTCCAGCAGAGGAGCAGCCTCTGGTTAAATACTAAAGCGAGCAGAGGGGAGGCAGCTCTGTGCTTCCTGTGGGTGCTCAGACATCAAAAGGTGCCAAGGCAAATCATGTGTTTGGCCTCTGAGGTTGTCTGTCTTTTGGGAAACATTTCTGCAGTTCATTCTCTGAAATATTCTGAGTAACGTTCTATTTAGGCAAGCTCTAGATGGCAACATCGACAAAGTCTGAGTTTAGGTCAAGATTACTCCTCTGCAAAAGGACAGGGCGCTGTTTAAGTGCCAAAGATGCCTCCAATTCAAGTAAATGTGTGTGAAAACAGTGTCCTACTCTTGCTACTACCACATAATTCAATACAGAGTGGAAGAAAACAGCCTTTGCTTTATGTCCTCAAAGCGTAATCGGAGTTTCACACTTTGTGCTCGTTTCACAAAATTTCTGAGGTGGTGTTTTATTTCCAATAGCAGAGGAGGGGGCATGACGCAACTGGATGGCAGCATCAGTGAGATGGATTACACGGGAGAGGCTTAGGAAATAGATGGATTCACTGATCAATGTGTCAGCAGTGGTCTCTCCTCTCTTAAGTGCTGAAAGTAATCCGGAGTGATTTACAATATTGACCAGGAGGAAAGGCTTGTCGAGCTCCTCGCTTCAAACTGCACAGGATCTGATGTAACTATCCCCTGTGCACATCAGTAAATGGAAAGCAATGTGACCCAGGCCAATAATTCCATGCAGTGGACACTGTATACACTAATACAGGGTCAAAAGCAAAAAGTAGATAAAAATGTTCTTCCCGCTGTCGACATTTTGACCATCTTCTATTGGAAAAGGGCAATATAAAAGATAAAGTTACAACAGAGGATAGATGGAGGCTAAATTCTACTAAAATACAGAATAAGGACGAGCAGAACTTTCCTGTTGGGATGAGCCGTGTATCACATTACACTGCAGGAATCCATCTCTACCGAGGGCTTCATGAAACTGTGATTAGCCATCCACTGGGACTCTTATCTAATTACTTCGAGCTCTTATGGATCATTATGGAAGTCTCAGATATTTACAAAAAACATTTCAAATTGTAAGTGTTAGATTGACAGATAGTAAAATTATTCATATACTCAATCATTTGCTTTATGGAGGGAACTTAATGAGAATGAGAATACCACTTTTCTATCTGTTAAGTGTAAGGCTACGACAGGTAGATAAGCTTAGCACAAAGACTGGAGACAGGAGGAAAAAGTTAGCCTGGCCCCTCCGCAAACCTGCACAGGATGAGCACATATAGAAAATAGTTTTTGAAGCGTTGTGTCTGAAAAGTTGTATGGAAACAGCAAAATTAGATAAAATTTCCTCATTCATTCATTTTCCATAAGCGCTTATCCTGTTGGGGGGTTGCAGGGGCTGGAGTCTATCCCCGCTGACCCTGGGCGAGAGGCAGGGTACACCCTGGACAGGTCACCAGACTATCACAGGGCTGACACACAGAGACAGACAACCATTCACACTCACATTCACACCTACGGACAATTTAGAATCACCAATCAACCTGCCTGTCGTTGGACTGTGGGAGGAAGCTGGAGCACCTGGAGAAAACCCACGCTGACATGGGGAGAACATGCAAACTCCACACAGAGGGGCTCCCCCACCCTGGGGTTCAACTAAATCTTGTGGGTGGATACAAATTCCATCACTATAAGGAATAATGTCTAAAAAACATTTCTCATCCAACACAAAATTACTCACCAAAACTCGATCTCCAACTCTAAGGTCCTTATCCCCTGCTTTCTTAACTGAGCCGCTGTCAGACATGTTGGACCCCGACTCGTTGCCCGTTTTCACTGCGCTGTTGAGGAGGCCCTCTCTCAGTGGCACGACCACCCGCTGGCCAGAGGGGGCGCTACCGCCGCCCTGCTGACTCACATTCTGGACAGAGAGCGAGTCAGTGGAGTGGCTGTCACTTCCCTCTCCGACCGGCTGTCGGGTGAGCTTCGAGGGTCGCGTGAAGATGCCCTGGAGGGGCTGGCACTCAAAGTAGCGCACGCCGCCCACTGACCCATCGTTTTTGCCAACTAGGTCATTCAGTATCACGCCTGCCCACTGTCCTGGGGCGAACTGTGTCTCCCCTAGGTAGGCAATAACTCCTAGTTTGACACCGTTGACCCAGACCTGCTCACCCACTGTGTAGTCCCCCAGAACATCGTCGCCCTCTTCAGAGATTTTAGTTGGTGTGGTGGGCTTGAGTGGAGCATCTGGAGAAAAAGAAAAACATAAAATATAATTTTTAATGTTGCAGAGCAGGGAAAGTGCTCCCATCACAGAAAGAAACATGAGCATTACCGAAATAAAACTAACGTAGTAAAATGTGCATTGAATTCAAATCAATACATCTTATTGTAATCACAACCCCTCCTCATTGGAGGGTCAAGTTGTAACACTGCCTACATTGTGAGATCATCCTCATTCACAGTCCAGCAGAATTGTCCTCACACTATTCATCCCGTTTGACCGTGTCATGCTGGCAAGAAGAAAAAAAAAAAAAAAAAAGGAGACCGAAAAAAACTGCTGGTGTGGCAGCATCCAGCACAACGGTGCAGTTTGTGCAAGATTAGGCATTACTCTAATTCCTCCTGAAAAGTGGGTCAGAGAGACGGTATCTGTGATGTGCCGGTGATTAACCCTGCCATGCTGCCCTGTGATATCGCCTGTTTGACACATAGATGAGCTGGTTCTCTGTGTTTTTCCACAGCAGCCTGTAAACTGAGCAGGGCACCATTAGCACGCGGTCTGCTGCACTGCACTGCCAGTAAAAGTCTGTGTTTATCTGCGTGTGTGTGTGTGTGTGTATGTGTGTGTGTGTGTGTGCGTGCGTGCGCGCAGGAATGGTCGGTGCCAGGGCTGTCTCCCCGACACCCTGAGAGAGGGCCTGGGGCTTTGTGGGCCCCAACCGTTGGGCTTTATGCCTCAATTGCTCCCATATGTTGCAATGTGAGACACATTCAGCACAAATGCAAATGGGTCCGAGTTCAAAGAGGTTTTAACTTGATGATACAGTTTCAAAGTAGGAATGTGCCGCTTCCAGTGTTAGAATATTTTGGGGGAAAACTGTTGCTGACAATTTCCCTCATCTTTAAGATGAAATGCACAACTGTAATGTTTAGGAGAGACGTTTAAAACATTTTACAAGGTGCATTTCATTGAGTACTATTAAACATCACAATTATCAGCTGATCAAGAGATACTGACGATCAGAGCATGGTACTCAGGTCTGTCATTGATCAGTAATGTGTCAAAATGAATGTCCCCAGAGCGAACTGACATACTGCATCAACATCAGCCGTAAGTCACTCTGTGTTTGACCCATATCTGCAGCTGGAATCACAGCTGGATTATGAGGTCTATCCAAAGCAGAGTCCTGCACCAGGTTGGGTCCCTGTGGGTACCAGATGGGTAACCCGCAAAAAGTTGTGTACAAATATGTGTATATATAAATTCACTGGTATGGGCACAGGTAAAAATGACAAATATATTTTCTATTTTTCAGAATAAAACAAATAAAAAAAGATGTGTAGTACATGTGTCATGTTTAATGACAACTAAATCACTACTATCAAGCTGCAGTTCCTTTTATTTTGAAAGTCAATGACACAGGTCGAAGCTGTTGAGACATTCGTCACCAATGTGGAGGACTCCAGCCATGAAACTTTGCAGCCCGAGGATGAGGTGGCAGCCTACATCGAGTTCAAGACACCCAAGGGGGATCCTTTTGAGATTTTATGGTGGTGAAAGGCTAAAATGTTTCCTAACCTGGCGGTGATTGCGCGGAATATTATCGCCATCCCGGCATCGAGCGCAGTAAGTGAAAGAGACTTTTCCTCTGCTGGATTTGTAATTAAATAACAGAGAACCCAGCTTAATGTGAGGGACTGTAGACTGTGTTAGACTTAGACATAGTGATGGGTAACAGTTTAGTTCTGGTACTGAGCTGTACGGGTATGGGCAAGTACAGGTTTTCAAAAATGGACCCGTGCAGGACTCTGATCCAAAGCACCAAAGATGGTTTGGAAATGTACCTGAGAAAGCTTCCTGCTAACAGATAAAGGATTAAAATGTCTGGTCAAGATTCAGTTTGGTATTGATTTTATTAAAGGGGACCTTTTATTCTCTTATGCATTTTGAGTCTTATATAAAGTGTTACAATGAGGGAAGTTCATATTAAGGCCCTGACACACCAAGCCAACAGTTGGGCTGTCGGTGAGTGTCTGTCCCCCTTGTTAAGGCGGTGTGTCGCGCAACGTTGCCCCTTGTCGAGTCCCACCTTTTTTTTTTTTTTTTCCCCACCGATTCAGCATGTTCTATCGGTGTCGGCTATGGCGGAGCCCGTCAGTGAATGAAATCACTCTGATTGGCAGTTCAACTCAGTGTACAGGAAGACAAAACAAAACAAACTTGTTACAGAAGATTAAGATATTTTTTCTTCAGTCACTGAGCTCTTTAGCAGAAACGTTTTACATAGGGCTGCCCCTTAATATTCAACCAAACCTTAGTCAACCAGAAAGTTCATTAGTTGGCAAGATTTCATTGGGCGCTTGCTAATTAATAACATGTCGGGCAGGAAATCCAAAGTGTGGGATCATTTTGAGAAGGTGAAGGACGAACCCAAGGTGATATGTAAACTCATCTTCATTGGTCGACTACAAACATGATGTATCATCTGAAACATGGAAGTAGCTACATGCCCATTAGCCCACAGCGTCATTAACAGGAGGCTCGCTCAGTGTGTGACGTGCACTTGTAGATAAAATATAGGCCTGTATTAATGAAGGTTCATTAGTACAGTTTTGTATTTCTCTGTAATGTAGCACAGTGTTAACAATGTTACTGATACTATTCTTTCTCACACCTTCAACTCAAACCATTGTGTTGCCCTGCCCTTAATTTTTTATTTTATATTTTTATTAATATTGTAAACATGCGGTCTACTAGTCGACTAATGGCCCTAAATGATGACTGTTGGTCGACTAGGAAAATTCATAGTCAGGGGCAGCACTAGTTTCATGATGATTTGTTATATCACTGCTGCACTGTACATAATTATGTTCTTTTGATTGTGTTGTTATTGTGCTAACTGGCTAACTAGCGTCAAGACGGTCTTCTGGTTTCCCTTTGTGAATGATGAATACAGACTACCACAGTCTGCTGATTATTTATTTCCCTGTACCGGTGATGAGGAAATGGGCGGGTACTGGACGGAACAGTCAGTGACAACAACACCGCCTAAATGTAAGAGCACTATCTGCAGTGGATATGCTAAACCAAAGTAGGGTATGTGTTCGTAGAGGTTACTTTTGGTTCTAAAGGCACTATACCAAAGGCTTTTGGTGGAAACAGGCCTTTTGTGTTTTCCTGGCGTAAACACAATGCAACTACTTTGATAGTTTGCCTTTAATATAATGAATCCAGTTTCCTTCACACTGTATTTACTTGTACACTACCTTTGGTCTGACTCTTGTTTATAGAATCTCTGCATTCTTTATACTCATTATCATTTTTTTTGTCCAGTACTGTTTCCACAGTTTCAAAATTGCTTCCAGTAAAAGGTTCAAAGTAAATCTGTCATCTTTAAGATTTATTTGAAGTTTGTTTGTCTGGCTGCACAGCTGTGCACCTACATGCACAGTGAGGGCAGAAGACACACAGTTATTATTTGTAAGTAAAACATCGGATCAGCCAGTGCAACATGTGATTGTGGCCAGCAGGCCCAGAGCAGCGTCTCAAACCTGATCTAACCCATGATTTTGAGTTGCTGGGGCAACAGGAGAGCGAGGGCAAAAGGATCCTCGGCAGAAGGAAGACTGGAAACACAGCACTTACTTTCACTATTGTGCTTGGCCACCTCCCACCACCATCTGAATCCCACTATTCATCAGCTTTACACAATGAAACCTCCACAGCTTCCTCCCGTCCCTCCTCCTCCCAATTACCCCCCCATGTCTCCCTGCTTTGGTTACACACACACACGCACACACACACACACACACACACACACACACACACACACATCTCTTTCTCTGGCCCCTTTAACTCTTCCTATTTATGATCATTTTCCACAAAGGCTATCATCTTCGCCCTCCAGCTTGTTCTTTTTGTTTGAAATTGGGCTGATGCTGTGTTGTTGTCTTCAGCAGTGGTTGTGGCAGCTGCGTAAGGCTGACCAGCTCTGACACTAACAGATGGAGGGGGCTGAGCTCGTTTTTGACTTTTGATCCATTTGTTGCTCCAAATGTAGTCCTGTGTTTCAAAGTCAAATCATTTCACACACAGAGGAAGTCTGCAACGATCAAAGATCTTTTCTACGTGCACACCCAGGTTCTTTGTGATTTTTTGTTAGGTCTAAATTTCCGTATTTGCTGTGTATTTCCAGTCTTTGTATTTAGGTTGATTTAGTCTCATGCTGCCAAGTTTCAGAAGAGCTCAAGCTTCACAAGGACTCACATGGTTTGATAGTTTGTCTGCAGGACAGTGATGAAGGAATTTAATTTTGTGTTTGCCAACAATGGTTGCAGATGAATGTTGGAGTGAGCAAGAGGGATCAAAACAAAACTGATTTCAGTCTGTCACTTTAAAGGCATGAGCTCTGTGCCATTATGTACCTTGTTTTACATTCAGTTAAAGTTGGGCAGGCACTTTCATTTTTAGCATCACTGGGCAAAAATCCCACCATAAACAAAATCATCAAGCATATTGTGATTCAAGTGGTCTGAGAGAAAACTGGACTTCTGAGCCTCCTCTTGGCCCTTTTTCTAGGCTGTAGAAAATCTAGCTTGCGATAGGACACTTTGGCCAATCACAGGTCATTTCAGAGGAAGATGGACTTATGAAAAAGAGTCTAAAATGGAGTCTGACAAATATCGAAACAATACATGTCAATATCAGTGAAGTGTTTCAGAGATGGAGCGAAACCGTTGTTCGTAATCAGAGCTAAAGGCTCATGGCTGCGGCTTCAACTTCACATTTATGTGGCTAACCTTAGCCTGATACTCAAATCACAGTCTGTCCTCCGCCTCACTCACCACTGCTACAGACTCACCAAGAGAAATGTGGTCAGCAGCTTCAGAAACTGACCCCCAGCCAGCAGCCGCAGCAAACCAAATCCAGCAAAAACCCCAGCCCCAGCGGACCGGACAGTGCCGACTCCCCACTGGATTGGTAAACTTTCTGTTGCTGCTGTGACACAGGTCAGAAGCAGGAC